GTCCTTCCCGACATCCGTGGACAAAACAGCCGTTTATCCGACCAACAAAACCACTGGTGGCCATTCACTTCCTACGCTACTGCAAATCAGCCGCTTTAACCCTCCTCCTCCATACGTTTTTTAAAGACACCTTTATTTCTTTCCCAGGTCTACTATGTTTTGTTTGTTGGTTTGTTTAACCAGGGAGACTCTATAAGGGGGTGTTGTAGAGTATCCCCTGGTTTAACACACCACTCAGCAATATTCCAGCTATGTGGCGCTCTACTATGTTATATCAATGAAACTAAACGTATATATTTTAATCCTACCTTAATTCAATGCTTCCTAGCAATTGAACACAATTATTCACTGTTTTCGTTATGGTTTTTTTCACGTTTAATACATATTCATAAAATACACGCCAAATAAAGCTAAGTATGGGAGGTTGTTTACAGCGCTAAGAATGCCATGGTGTAAAAAAGTACCAGTAATAGTCTAAAACTTCTAATTGCATAGGACACAATTATTGAAGCAACTAAAAATATAAACCTGGGATGGTGGCAAGGATAAAAGATTGGTAAGTTAATAATTTTGCATGGAAAAGTGTGACACTAAACTGGTAGACGGTATCGTTGCCAGAAAAAAACATGAATACGATCAGACAGAATTGTTTACAAAAATTAATTAGTTTTTGCTAAATTCTCTGACACTGGCTGAGATAGATAAATGGCCAAACCTGTTTGCTATAGATATCTGCATACGCAGGCGGCATCTGGAAGGTAAAAGGTCAAATTCGTTGAAAAGAAAATAGGAACTGTCGTTTAATTAGATGAATGCTTTTACCTTTTAACAATTTGCTGCTCATAAATAAGCACATACGAGTGATTGTCTGGAATACCAGTGATTTTACGGGCTGTGTTTACAATATTTTTTAGTTTTTTTCCTGAACAGACTGGTTGCGAAACCAACAGATAAAATAAAAAGTCAATACATTTGAATTAATGTTTTGTAAAAAACAGGCGCATGAGGTTTTGATCAACTTGATGTTGACAAAAACGTAGCATAAAAATCCCAACCTTTTCTGGCATTTAGTACACATGTTGTCTTTCCAAATTAGTTTAGTCAATGATAGTGACATCAGCTGTTACTAACCATTTCAATTTCTGCAATTAGGATGACAGAGTTAGTGTGTTAGGAGGTGAATTAGATTTTAGAAATCCGTAATCATCTTTGAAAGAGGAAATTTATATTAAAAATACAAAAATATCTTGGTTCATAGTTTGTTTTTGTTTTTAATTCTCTGATTTTCATAATACTTTCTTCCGTTGGTCACTTAGCCACCTCTAACAATGCTAACGAATATAATATTGTTAGAATTATTATTATTATGTGTTGGTTTATATCGCTTTGGCGACAGTGTTACAGACTGAAACAAAGTGCAAAACGCAGAAATCCTTATCATTTTAGAGTTTAAATTTCTTTAAATGCATCACTTGTAGCAAAGAAATAATTGCCAAAGTCATTTGTGAGATATTACATGCACACAATTTATCCTTTGGGGAATAACTGCAGACAATAAATATACAAGTAGAAAGTGTCTGAGTGAAAAAAACACTTTCCTTTGGTGCCGACACGCCCACTACATAATTTATCATTATTTCATATGTCAGTTCTGGTTATTTTTGTGTCAACCACCAATGGGTAACAATACATACAAGGTAGACGATTCATTTAATTGCACGCAGCTGGTTTATTACAAAACCTGTCAAATTCGGATTTTTCTAGTTACCTTCATTTTCTACTTCACACGGTCTGAGAAATCTGAGCAGTAAAACTGGCCATTGATAGGTTGGCTCTCATAACAACACGTTTCACATTAGATTATTCCTATACCTTAGGGGAGCCTAGTGGTTAAAGCGTTCGCTCGTCAAGCCGACAATGTGTGAAGCCCATTTCTGGTGTCCCCCGCCGTGATGTTGCTGGAATATTGCTAAAAGCGGCGTAAAACCAAACTCAGTCAGTCAGTCGTCACGCCGATGACCCGGGTTCGATTCCCCACATGGGTACAATGTGTGAAGCCCATTTCTGGTGTCCCCCGCCGTGATATTGCTGGAATATTGCTAAAAGGCGGCGTAAAACTAAATGCACACACTCACTATACCTTTTGTAAAGAAATATTAAAATATTTTGTAATATGTTGCATATCATATGTTCATATGAACATACACTTAGTACTTACCTTTTCGTTGTCTTCAGCATTCTCTCCAAACAAATCCAATATGGTAGGGCAGGAAATCACGTTGATAGTCTTCATAATGCAGAACTCAAACCAAAAACGTACACGCAAAGTTAACCGCAGCTCGTAAAAAATGTAAGAAACGCGAAAAATCTAAGCGCATCGTAACTTCGATTTCAAAACTAAATTTTAGACACCTTGTTGGATTTGTTTTGACAAGCACCGTGTCATTTGATAAATTTCCTCACGTCTGCTTCTACTAGAGCCTGAGGAAAGAGCATGAAAATTTCGTGCAACGGAACTGTGTGCCGATTGGCTAAACTCGTAACCATGACAACACGCGACAGAAGAACACCTGCATGAAAGATACAATATTTTTGTTTTGATTTGACCCTTGTAATCTCAAGAGACGAAGCTGTGGGCGTTGGGTAGTTCTAGGAGGTTAAGGGGGGTGCTCGATGTATCGCGGTCCTTTACCTGTATCTGGATGCGCATTCTGTTTACGGTTTGATGCCCATAATTTTATAGACTTAATACAGGAGTCGAATATGGCAAGTTACGATTCTGACGTTTATAGTGTTAGTGTGTTGCATGTCACTCACTTGTACAGCGTCTTTCTGTCTATAGCTGGGGCGGTTGGGTAGCCTAATGGTTACGTAGAAGACCTGGGTTCGATTCAACAAATTGGTACAGTCGATGCTGATGATTGTCTGACGTTTATGTTTTCAGGTAGGATAATACATACAATACAATGGGATTACTCATTGCTGCTACGAGGTGAAGTGAAGTGAAATGGGGTTTTACGTCGCACTTGAGAATATTTCGCTCATATGACGATGTACATGCTTGTGTATGTGTGGCTGCCACAGTGAAGCACGAATACCCCACTCAGACACATTATACTGACTCCGAGCCGACCAGTCCTTGTTGTACCCATATCCCACTCAGACACATTATACTGACTCCGAGCCGACCAGTCCTTGTTGTACCCATATCCCACTCAGACACATTATACTGACTCCGAGCCGACCAGTCCTTGTACCCATTAATCCCGAGCGCTAGGCAGGGAGCAACAAGTACCATATGTTAACGTCTTCTGGTATGAAGCGGCCTGGGATCGAACCCGCAACCTTCCGCTCTCCGGGCGGAGGCTCTAACCACTACACCACGGATGCGGTTCATTGCTGTTACGAAGGGGACAGGCGGGTGTATAAGACATACACATAGTGTCACACTGTATTGCGGCGAAGATTGGGATCAAATGTCATTAACAAACCAAACATGATTTTCAGGAACATGTTATGTTAATATATTCAGCATGTTGAGGTCAACGATTACATATAGACAGACTGCTAAAATACACAAGTGGTGGTGACAACCATAGTTCGTTATATCTGCCATCGTTATACGAGCGTTCATTATACACGTAGTTTACAGTATAGTGAACAGTAGGAATGAAAATGGAATTAGGAAAACCTTAAAATATTCACACACTCATTTTGTCTTAGATCACAGTTTATAACACGGCTGCAAGGACGTTTCAGGTTTATGTACTTCCAAAGAAAAATAATGAAACAAAAAATTTTAAAACAAATTCGGTTACGCGCCTTATCCCATTCAGAAAACATTGCTGCTCAAACGCCTGCTAGCTGATTAATGCTTGAACAAATCCATTTCTCCAAAACTGATGTTTATAATCGATCAGTTGGATAGCGTTAATTTTGAATAAGATGTGAACACACAATGCCTTTTAGGAAGTGGTCAAATGTATAGCATACGTTTGTTGTGCCCTTAAACGCACAATGGTCTTAAGTGCACAGAAATCATAAACACACGTTCAACCAAATGTTCATAAACATCTGGGATCTGTGCAAGTTATATGTGATAAGTTAGAAGACTAGTTACATGAAGGATTTCTGGATTTCCTGATTCAATGAAGCCCATACCCGCCAAGCTGGGTATTCCGCTCCCTTTCTTGTTGATTATAGGAAAAAAGTCCTCGGAAAAAATGTCCTGAGTTAAAAAGTACCAGAAAAAAATCCTCCAGAAAAACGTCATATTTATTGTGAAAACAGATTAAACTGATGTTGACATCAAAGTTATTGTAAAGAAAACAAAGTGATTGTGTATAATGACAATAAAAGAAATCAGTGAGTTTAGTTTTACGCCGCTTTTAGCAATATTACGGCGGGGGAACACCAGAATGGGCTTCACACATTGTACCCATGTGGAGAATCGAACCCGGGTATTCAGCGTGACGAGACAACGCTTTAACCACTAGGCTACCCCACCGCCCCCTATAAAAGACATGGATTAAAAAAATTGAGTTAACCAAAAACAATGATATTTTACCTGAGCAGATCTAATCCAGGATTTAGCTTGAGTACTGTTTGTCAAAATATAATGTGATTTTAGCTGAATGAACCAAAGAACTCGACAATTATAAAGCGATTTTAGCTGAATGAATCAAAGAATAATTAGTGTTCACAACAAGATGGAGAGTGAGGAGAGTTCCTCCTATGTTCCCACCCCACGTCTGCAACGTACATGAGGCAACTCTAGCAGGTGATCCAAGAACAAACAATGTATGTATGTGCCCGTTTATGACATATTCGATTTGCATTTTGCCTCCTTGCACCGCCGTTTGAATCACGTTTATGAATGTCCACGAAGGGAGGTTCACCTGTACTAGGTTAGGTCATGTAGCTTGGATGCTTTCAAAAAATGAAACTGCTGCAAAACACAAGTCAACATTTACGTGTAAAATACCTACTCTCCGGATTTTAATAATCTATTGATCAAATATGGCGGCTTCCATGGAAGGTATAACATCAACTGTCAAAGATATATCACTGCTTGTAAGATAGAAATGTGGTTAAAGATTCTTTAACCGCCCAAATTCTTCTTTTCGTTTCAGGTTCTAGTGACAAGCCTGTTCTAGAAACTCTAAATCTGTCGACGTTCAGTGATGTTGTTGAAACGGCGGATCGAGATGACAAACCTGCTCAACGGGAGGCAACTCTGTCTTGTCCTTGTGCTCTGTGCGACGACACCTTCAATATAGACGACAAAAAAGACCATCTGCTTGCACATATGATCATGGCTCATAAATTTGTAATTGCAGACGTAAACCTGATTGCACAGTTTAAGAGGTATCTACTTGTCAGAAGAATATGCTTGCGTACAATATTATGATGACGGTGCATGTGATGAAGGGGTCTTTAGTAACGAAATTATGGTTGTGTATTTTACATAGCGTACACATCGCAATCATGTATTGAGAGAAATATACACTGGCCAAAATCAGTAGGGATAAGTACGATAGATGACTAATGCATAGCACTATTGTAATAGTGCTGGTAGCACTGTCGGGCATTAAAAATATTAAAAGAACAAATGTTGCTTTCAGCAGAAAAGGAAAATACCCGATGATGTCGGAATAGATTGTTGTTAAAAATTAAGTGATGTAAATATCAAATTGATTTTATTCAGTCATACTGTCAGTGTGTATGAGTCACTGTATTGTCAATGTTGTGTGAGTGTAACGTGTGTTATATTTGGGATTACATTTCTCAGTAAAGGTGAGGTGAGGTGAAATTGGGTTTTACGTCGTGCTTGAGAATATTTCGCTCATATGACGACGTGCATGCGTGTGTATGTGTATGTGCGGCTGCTTGTACTAGCCCAGACTGAAGCTGGTTTTATAGTGCTAGCCCACTGAGATACCATGCCGCAGTGAAGCATGAATACCCCACTCAGACTCATTATACTGACTTCGAGCCGACCAGTCCTTGTTGTACCCATTAAAGCCGAGCGCCAGGCAGGGACCAACAAGTACCACTCTTTTTGGTATGATGGCGGTCGGGGATCGAACCAGACCTTCAGCTCTCGGCACGCTCTAATCAGGCGGTCTTCTCAGTAAAGTACATATTCTAGTACTTGTATTAGGTTGAGTCCCATCCGGATTCAAACCCACACTCTCAGAGTGAGGCACCTAATCATCAGCACACAGAGTGGGATATCTAACCCACCCACCCACCCTGCAACCCTGCAACCCTGCAACCCTGCAACCCTGCCAGCTTCCACAATGGCATTGTGTATTCATAGTGTTGCAAGTGTCTAGTTGCCATCAGTAATGAGCATGGTGAATTTTTGTGGCTTCAGTGCAGTGGCCAGCAAGGACATACTTGTCCACAGACAAATACATGGAGTGCATTTCTGTAGTTCTCAATCTCATTAAGATTAGATCTTAACTTTTGCTTTTTCTACAAAGCTGTCTACTTTCAAAGATATTTTGTAGTACTGTATATGAATCCTTGAGCACAATTAATACTGATTATTTCTTTGAAATAATAAATTTTCACAGTTATTTTGTTTAAGAAACATTCTAAACCTGTGGGAGTTATATCAAACATTCTTGGGAATTGGCGAAAAAGGAAGTTGACTATTACTAGGAAGATAACTGTAATTAAAACCATGGCTGTATCTACTTTAGTACACATTTTTACATCACTCCCTAATCCTCCTAAATGTTTCATGGATGATATTGAGAAAATGTTTTTCACTTTTATCTGGAGTGGTAAACCTGATAAGATTAAGAGGAGGAATATGAAAAAGGATTACAGGGAAGGAGGAAATAGGATGATTGATTTAAAATCTTTTATTGCTGCATTGAAACTATAGCCACTATTAAAGAGGTATTTAACAGTGACTCTAATAACCCTTGCAATGTTCCTATTCATCAACTTGCTCAGATGAGCTCAAACATTGATCAATTCTGCACTGTGGACAACCCATATTGGAAAGATGTTCTTCTATCATGGAAGAGATACAGAAGCCTATTCATAACTGATGAGATTGATCTGTCTAAAATACTCTCTGAGTCCCTCTGGTTTAATCACCAGTTTGTTGATTCATCCTTTTTTCTTAAAAGTTGGTTTGAGTATGGAATCACTGAAGTTAAAGACCTCTGTAAATCTGTCGGTCTACTTTCTTTTAATGAGTTCAAGAATAGGTATCCAGTTAGAGGAACATTTCAAGACTACAATAAACTTTTGAAAAATATCCCTGTCTCATCGAGACATACAGTCAATAATTCTATTAATGAAACTCAAAATCTGGGTATTAATGACATAGTGTATGAACTTATTATACCTTCAAAAGGTTGTAGAAGGTTCTATGACAAATTGATTAAAACATGTGAGCTACCTGATGTGTGTAACAAGGGGGAAAGTATGACTCAGATTACATTGCCTTGGAGTATTGTTTTTACAAACTATAAAAAGTGTACTCGGGATGTTAAGTTATTGATTTCCAATTTAGATTCATTCACAAGATTATATATACTAAAAAAGAATTGTTGAAAATGAAATTGATTGACAAAAATATTTGTACATTTTGCAAATCAGAACCAGAAGATATTATCCATGTTTTTGTATCGTGTGAACATATGTACAGATGTTCTGGAGTGAGCTAAGGATTTTTATTAAAAACACTTTATATATAAACAACCGACGGCTGCAAATGTCAGGATTTCTGAAAATAATACAGAATATTGTATTTTTGTCAAAAAATACATAGCTAAGAAAAACAACTGGAGTAACAAATTTCACAAAAATGGCCTAATAGCTTTATTTCCAACTTTGAAAATCTGCAAGTCTCTGGGCCAATAAATAATCAGCTCCAACATGCCTACGACCCATGAGTTTGCTGCTGGAGGTTTGCACTTTGTCTTTCTATACCCATCCTTGCAAACTTTGAAATTAGTAACTCTGTTGTCAATGATAACCAGGTTTTCACATCATATAAATATCCTATAATAATAGTAATAATAACGAGAATAATAATAAGAAGAAGAATAATGATAATAATATTAATTACTCAACATGCAGGTAACCCATGAGTTCGTCGCTGGAGTCATGTCCTCCCCGACTTTTGTACCTATACTTTCACACTCTGAAAATTTGTAACTTGTTGATGCCAATGTATAACCAGCTCCAAGTGCCTTACACATGGAGTTTGCAACTGGAGTAGTGTACTCCCTGATTTTGTATACTTATATTATCACACTTTGAAAATTTGAACTCTTTGTTGCTGATGTATAACCAGCTCTTACATGCCTGTAACCCAGAGAGTCTGTTGCTGGAGTGGTGCACTCCCTGACATTGTGTACCTATGTTTCCACACTTCGAAATTGGTAAATCTCTGTTGCTGATGTATAACTAGCTAGAACATGCCTGTAACCCATGGAGTTTGCTGCTGGAGTCGTGCACTCCCTGACTTTGTATACTAGTAACTATATTTTCTTACTTTGAAAATTTGTAACTCTTTATTGCCAATATGTAACCAGCCCTAACATGGAGTTGTGTACTCCCTGTCTTTGTATACCTATCTGAAATGAATAAAAAAACAAACAAAAAAACCCAAACATTGTAAAACATCAAAATCTGATAATTGGAAATACATATGAGACAGTTATTATTGTCCTGATTTCAATGTAGTAGAAACTATACCTCTAATTTTTGTCTTCCAAATGTTAAAACAAATTATTTTAGTTTAAACAATATTAAATCATTTAGATGCCCAATTAAATTGCTAAATGATATTCAGAAATTTGCATTTACATATCATTTTGAAATATGTGTACCTCTAGATTAACTTCATTTTTATTTTGTGAAGGTATATACTGTATTGGAAGAAGAGATTTAAAGAGGAGCCTCTGAAAGACTTCTGTACCACAATTGTCACAAACACAGGAACGACAGACAGAGGTAATCCTTGTTGTGAGCGCTGCCTGTGATATTTTAACACTACTTTCAATGTTATTACAGTGTATGAAATATGCCAAAAACCCAGCCACCAAAACTTCAAAATGTTACCAGCCAAAAATGGATTTAACCAGACCAGACACCAAGATATGGTGGATTTGCTCAGAAGTAAGGAACATATAAAACAATTAACAGACCATCAGGCTGGCAAGCTGTAAATTAGATCGTCCGTCAGAAATCACGCCCGACTCGGGCATTCAGACAGGCCTTATTTCATACACTGGCAATAATCAGGATCATGTAGAAACAAGTATTACACAATTTTCTCTTCATCAGTCAGGGGCGATGGGGTAGCCTAGTGGTTAAAGTGTGCATTCATCATGCGAAAGACCTGGGTTTGATGCCCCACTCACTCACTCGTCATATGAGCGAAATATTCTCAAGCACGACGTTAAACCCAATTTCACCTCACCTCACCTCACCTCACCTCACCTCACTCACTCACTCACTCACTTCTACAGTCAAGTTGTAAGTGAAACACTTATCAAATTAGCACTGGCTATTGATATAGATCATAAACATTGGTTATCATTAAATAGATATTGATCAATTATCGATAAATATTGCAAATGTAACTTTCAGCAAAAATGCCTGAAAGAAATCAACATGTTTCACATGACTTGTGAGTGATGACATAGTTTTGCATGAATTACTAACAATACAACATCTTCACGATAAGTTAAGAGCAGCACACGAATAAAGACCTAACTTTGAGCATTGTGTGAGGAAACTGCAACTTTACTTCATCGCAAGGTTTATGTACGATATTATCGATGACAGTTTTCATATTGATAATCATTAATAATTTCCCCCATCGAGGATATTTCAGGTTAATGATCTATTTAGCCAGCCCTACAATTAGCAAGTATAACCATTATTAGTGTTAAACTAACAGGACTTGTAATGGTTTGTCCCAGTTTGGTAATGTTTGCCCCGAATATCAGCCCTAGACTGCCAAGATGAGTCCCAGCATGCCAACCATTGTAATAAGTATGAACCACAATGCCTGTTACAAGTGGTCAGATGACATATGTTATATTGGGGAATATACTTTGTAATAAGATTGAGAATCCTGTGACACTGATCAGTGCTCATGGTCAGCCACAGGTTGTTTGTGTGACAGGTAGTGGTAACTGCAGGGAATTTGTGGGGAATACAGGTTAGTATAGGTTCGCAGCAGTAAATGCTGGTTTTAAGAGATTTATGGGGTCACATGGTCAGGCTTGTGATGTGATGCTGTTTCAGCATACCAAACTAACAAGGCTTGTTGCTCACAATGTCAATCACTGGATTGTCAGGTCCAGGCTAGAGTATTTGCTCCCTGTGGTCACTCAACTGGAATATTGCTGAGTGCAGATAACCTCAAGTGGTTAGAATAACAAAGTATATTTACGGTTGTCTCCCCTTGACTAGCTCGGTGTGGAGCTGTTTTTGCATCCATGGGGGTTTCTGAAATTTGAAGATTTGTTGTGTGAACTTGTCCTTACTGCTGCGGATAACAGTTTGCATCAGACAGTGTTTTGGTGTTTGCAGTTGGCAATTGAATGGCCATGTTGCCTTTACAAGATGTTCTCAATTTTGCATGGTACAGCGAAACCCAATCTTAATGCCCCCCATCTGTAATAATACCATAGGTCTGGAATAATGCTGCAAGCCAGGTAATATCATACTGACTTTCCACCCCAATCACCCTTACACCCATCTTCACACTCATCCTCCTAATGCATTCACACAAAGTCCGTCCTACAAACACACTCACTGAAAAGCTTCTGAACTGGTTCCATGGTCGTCCTGTTAGTATTCTGTAATTGTTTTGATTGTTCATTGATTATTCTGATTGTTTTGTGATTGTACTGATTTTTCTAAGATAACTGGGTATTCTGTGATTGTTTTCTGATTTTTTTTCCCAGCAATTTGTGATTTTTTTCAGCAATTGTTTCAGTATTGTTCTTTGAATGTTATGTGATTATTGTGTGATATCCTGATTGTTCTGTGATTGTTCAAATTTTGTAGTGATTATTCTGTGAATGTTCTGTGATTGTTGTGATGTTGCAGCCCCCCGAGAGGAGTTCCTCATGTTGAGTGATGTCCTCCCTGAAGACAAGCAGCTGCGGGAGTTTCTGCAGAAAAAACAGCTGGTACTGATTCATGTCCTCTTACGACCGCCTCCGTGGTGTAGTGGTTAGAGCGTCTGCCCGGAGAGCAGAAGGTCGCGGGTTCGATTCCCGACCGCGCCATACCAAAAGACGTTAAAATATGGTACTTGTTGGGCCCTGCCTGGCGCGCGGCATTAATGGGTACAACAAGGACTGGTCGGCTCGGAGTCAGTATAATGTGTCTGAGTGGGGTATTCATGCTTCACTGCGGCATGGTGACTCAGTGGGCTAGCAGTATAAAACCAGCTTCAGTCTGGGCTAGTACAAGCAACCGCAACATACACATACACACGCATGCACGTCGTCATATGAGCGACATATTCTCAAGCATGACGTTAAACCCAATTTCACCTCACCTCATGTCCTCTTACTGTTGTAAGTCAGTGCATGTTCCAGCTCAGGTACAGTGGCAGACAGGAACAGTAGCCCTCTCGCATCTCAAGCAGAAAGCTTTTTCTGGTGATAATGGACATAGTACCTATCTCAAGGTTTCCCCACCACCTCATCGTAATGACATGTGTTAGGATATTGTCAAAATGTCTAATGTTACCAGCAAGGTGCTCTCCATCTAGTGTATTTTATACTGAGTATTATCTGCCAGACTGGGGCGGTGGGGCAGCCTAGTGGTTGAAGTGTTTGCTTGTCACACCAAACACCCCAGGTTCAAATCCCCACATGGATACACCCGTGAAGGTCCGGGTTAGAATATTGATCTTCAGTAACCCATGCTTGTCGCAAGAGGAGACTAATGGGATCGGGTGGTCAGGCTCGCTGACTTGGTTGACACCGATCATTGGTTCCCATGATCGATGCTCATGCTGTTGATCACTGGAGTGTCTGGTCCAGACTTGATTATTTACAGACCGTCGCCATATAGCTGGAATATTGCTCGGTCCGGTGTAAAACTAACCTCACTCTCTCACTCACCCACATGGGTATACAATGTGTGAAACCTATTTCTGATGTCCCCTGACGTGATATTGCTGGAATATTGACTCACTGACTCTTTGAAAGTCTGCAAATATAGAAACTTGTCCAAAGCCTAAGTCTTGTAATTTAATTATCAAATGAACTTAGCTTGTAATAGACTATGTTGTACAAAAAAATATTAGCCCTGGATACTCACAAAACTTTGACCCAAACTGCCGTGATGCATCATAAGTTATACCGTGTGTTATACCTCGATCTTGTTGTGATCAGCACCCTTGATCATTCACCACCATTGCTTATGTCAGGAAAGAAGATCACCATGATCACTGCCCATCCTCAGAATTTCCTGTTCCAATGAGTGTGATGCGATAGGATTGATTTGGTTTGTTTGTTTGTTGTTTACATCAGCACTAAGGAATTTTCCTGCTATATGACGACAGCCTGTTGTAAATAATCTGGACCACACAATCCAGTGTTTGGTGTCATGAGCATCTATCTATGAAATTGTTTCTGGTGTCCCCCGCCGTGATGTTGCTGGAATATTGCTAAAAGCGGCGTAAAACCAAACTCAGTCAGTATCTATGTAATTGGGATACAATGACTTACATCAACCAAGTCAGTGAGCCTGACCACCCGATCCCATCAGCCGCCTCTTACAACAAGAATGGGTTGCTGAAAACCAGTTCTAACCCGGATCTTCATGGGTTTTATTGGATTGTATGGCCTTATATTGTGTTAATTAATAACTGTCTCCATCATTATGCTGTGATAGACAATAGATGCAAGGTATTTTTACAGAATTTTAATTTCAACAGAATGGAGATATATACTGAATTTCAAGGATGTCTTTAATAAAGAAAACCATGTGTAGATTGGTCAATCTAACTTGTGTGACTACATGTTGTTCCTGTTGTTGTCGTGGCAGGAGGAGATCCTCATGGTGCAGCAGAAGGAGAGAGAGGACACCCAGTTCTCACGAAGCTGCCTCTTCTGCTCACAACACTTCCAGGGAAACAGGTGAGGCTCCTTCCTCTACAGGTCGGTCAGGTCAGGTGGCTTGATCAACAGATTATCTCCCTTTGTTGAAGGACAGTCTGGCACAGATGGTGGAATTCTAGACATAGGGTATTTCTGTTCAATTGTATAAAATGTTAGATTCATCCTTAACTGTAAAATGCCAGGTGGCAGGTGAAATATTTATCAACAATTACTATCCACGCTTTATCCAAGTTCATGTTAAAAATGAAAGGCTTCTGGAATAATAAACCATGAGGGTCTAACCCTGACTAACCCTGAGTGGTTTATTCTCCCTTTTGTGTTTTATTGTGTGATAAACAATGAAAGTGAGTTGTTTTTTTATGTAAGATATGAATATTATTTATACCCTCCTCAAGGGTGACACCAGAAATGGGCTTCACACATTGTACCCATGTGGGGAATCGAACCCGGGTCTTCAGCATGAAGAGCGAACACTTTAACCATTAGGCTACCCCACCACCCCATATCCTGAAGTGACATTGTGAAAGAGCATTGTGTTCTCATGGATTATACTTCACCTTGTTCTTCATTGCTCTTTGCGATCTGTCACATAGCAGTCCTAAATACCTCAAGAACTGAAAAGGTATTGAAGTTATTTCTAAGCTATATTTGTTCCAGGGCCGAGATGTTCAATCACATGGTGCAGGACCACGCATTTAATGTCGGACAGCCAGATAACTTGGGTGAGGCATATTGGCAGTCTGTCTATTCTGTTAGTTTCCTGGTCATATGGCTTGATCAGCAGCCAGAGCTCGGATCACGGTATAATTCAGGGCCACTCCGTAATTCAGGGCTAGAAATGTGATCCAGGGCAACTGGCTTAATTCAGGGCCACCACATAATTCAGGGCTACTGGCAAAATTTAATTCCAGTAAAAAGTAAGTCTAGGGTAATTCAGGGCTGCTGGCCAAATGATTTATGACCACTGCCAAAAAGTAGGGTTAGAAAAGTAATTCAGGGCCACCGACATAATTCGGGGTTAGAAAAGTAATTCTGGTCAACTAACACCATTCAGGGCTAGAGAAGTAATACTGGTCTTGTGTAATTCACTTGAGTGATTCAAGGATACTAGGATACTTAAAATCATCTCAACTAATTCAGTGCAAAAATGAGCAATTAAGGAATATTACCAGGAATGATTCATTGTTGTTGAACATATTCCAAATCAAGTACCCGTGAAGGTCCGGGTTAGAATATTGATCTTCAGTAACCCATGCTTGTCGTAAGAGGCGACTAACAGGATCGGGTGGTCAGGCTCGCTGACTTGGTTGACACATGTCATCAGTTCCCATTTGTGTAGATCGATGCTCATGATGGTGATTACTGGATTGTCTGGTCCAGACTCGATTATTTACAGGCTGCCGACATATAGCTGGAATATTGCTGAGTGCGGCATAAAACTAAACTCACTCACTCACTCACTATTACCAAGTCATGGCATGCAAAATTTAATTCAGTATGTCAAAAGCTCTGTCATGGCTACTAAAAATATTGCTGTCAAAGTATTTGTTTTCCAATCAATTTTTTGATTGGTATATGGTAATAAATGATATATGAAATGATTTCAGATAGACATTTTGACCTTGGATGAAAATGGTTGATTCTGCCCTTTTTCTTGTTATGGTTGTATTATTTCAGTGTTCACAGATGAATTCCTAGATATCCTTCAAGGGAAACTAGAGAAGTAAGTTTCATATGTGCGCAGTTATTTGTTTGCTTCCGCCCGTTGTGGTTCAGATCCCAATGAGTACAATGCATGAAGCCAATTTCTAGTGGCCCTTGCAATACATGGAAACACATCACTTCTCACCCTGAATGTGGGTCAAATGCCAGCAGTTGTTGCTCTGATTTCACCTATTTCACTGGTCTTTGATCCATTTATGTTTCTGTGTTTTTTAAACAGACTAACAAACAAAAATATAAACATACAGAACTTATATGTGTTACATTTGTTTATTTTTCTTTATCCTGACTCATGTATTATTGCTTGTCTCCTTCCTTTCCTGAACGTTAGTGGAACACTTGTATCTCTCTTTTGAAGCTCCCTTCAATAAAGCAGACATAAAATCACTATTCACCACGAGTTGTCTCCCTCTCAGTTTTGGCGGGAAAACGGCGCCACCCGTCTTCCCACGCTTCACTCTCTCCTTCTTCGCCCTAGTGGACGGTTGGGAGAGCACCTGTGTCGCCAACACGGCACTATATCCTTTGCTAACTTAGTTATTACCTATAAGTTACCTTTATAAGGTTTTCAGGGTGTATCCTTCTACAATATGGTTTGAAATTTATTAGCAAATTTGACTGTTTATTCACGGTTTTCATTGATTGTTCAGTTTGTTTACATTTCATGAAAACCTGTTTTCGTTGTAGGTTTAGGTTCTCTGCTGCAGACCCGCATTTGTGCCCTAGTTGCACAACAATATGTACTTCCAGCTCTCTCTGTAAATTATGTCAGCAACTAACAAAAATTGAATTTAATAATTATTATTTCTCTGTACTTAGAAGCGTGCTAAGGATAAATCCAGGCGGCTGTTACAAGTCATGGCTAAACCGGCTGAGTCCCTTAAGAGCTGTATGTCGTTGTCTGACGACATACTTCCATCCAGTGACCTGCCGGAATCTTTCAGAAGATGGGTGGGATGAATTCGCCATTCGTCAAAGATAAGATCTTCTACATCGGACAACTCCTCAACCCATACAAAGAAGAAGAGGCCATCTTCATTCGAGAAGAAGCCTTACACCCCTAAGGCTCTCAACGAGATCTACTGGGAGCTCTTCACAGACTACAAGGACCTTCTCTGCTGAGATCGTCCCGATGGAAGAAATAGGCTTGTACGAAGAACCGCCTATCCTCATCCCAGAGATACTGCATAAGAAGAAGACACAGGCCTCAGCAACGGTAACGTCAGGACAGTCTGAGTTACCTTCTACACTGGCAGCAGGGACCCATGAGGTACAGCGATCCCTGGACCATATCGCTACCCTCTCAGATGCATCATCTCTACAGTCGTCGCAGACATTCAACCCCGGGACCTTCATGCAGCAATTCTCCCAACATATGATGGACCTGATGGAGAAGCGTTTCGCGCAGGAAAGCACCTTGCATGATGGTCAGGCAGCCGCCTCTCATGCTCAAGTCAGGACCAGTGCTGCACGAAGGACCCCGCACCGGTGGTGCATCTGAGAAATCTACAAGAGGTTCTAGCTCTAGGACTAAGAGCAGACCTACCCTGCACGACGTCAACGAACCTGCGCGAAGGAAGGGACATTCATCCGACCAAATAGATCGTCATCTAGCTCTAGGACTAAGAGCAGATCTACGCTACATTATGTCAGCAAACCTGCGGGCAGGACGGCACGCTCTTCAGAACCAATGAGATCGTCATCAGATGATGAGGCTAATGAAGAACCTTCACGCAGGCTACTCACTTCACAGAGAAAGAAACCTACATCACCTAGAAGGTCTAGAGAGACGTCTCTGGACTCAGACCCTCAACAAAATCTGAATTATCTTCAAGGGCGTCAACAACACCTCACAGATGGTCATGGGATTCAACACTTAGGAATTCATTGCCAGGAAGGCAATCCCGGCCCAGAAGACGCTCACCTACACGCAGGTCGCCATACAGATGGCCTCTTAGAACTACTCGTAGTTCAACATGCTCATCCCCACATAGATCCACGTAGATCGCCACGCAGATCGCCACGTAGATCGCCACGTAGATCGCCACGCAGATCGCCACGTAGATCGCCACACAGATCGCCACGCAGATCTCCAAGGATATTCAACGATCATATACCAGTGGACATGATACAGAGGACGATGGCTGTATCATATTTTCGGACTCAGAGATAAAATATTGGATGGCTAATGGACTGGACCTAGCGTCACCCTTGAAGGAAGAGATCTTCGTCGGCGCAAAGACTGAGGGACACGCGTTGAAGTTCAAGAGGGGTACTCTGGTCCGAATTCATCACCTGCGCAGATCTTCAGACTGAATCCAGGACGGGATTCACATCGTTGAAAATTTTTAGATAGATATATCTACATCAGAAGATAATAACGGGATTCATGGGATCTCATGTAGAGATCTTCACTTGCGTACAGATCTTCACGTATTCACATTGGCGTTCCTCAGCAGCAGCCTTGCTAAGGCTATGAAGTTACAAAGTCAACATATTCCCAACGTTCAAGTCTGGGAATTCCCGCTACTTTACATGGGACCCTGCATAACGGCTCCAGAGATTGATGTAAACTACAAAATCATCAACGACTCCCTTTGTAGAACTTACAACAAAGTTGAGCATCAACTCTACAAGGACCTGTGTGTTTCAACACAAAGAGGGTAATTTACGACGCTTCATTGAGATCGATGAATACAGTCTACAAGTAGCAGCGCTGAGGAGGTGTAGACTTCAGCTGATCATCTGTATAAAAGGACGACTGCATTATCTTCAGGTCTGAAGTAACAGTCACAGCAGCCAGGAAAACAGCCTACCTACATCGGTATTACGCGGCGAATTCTTTTTGCGCGTTTACCATGCAACCCTCTATACACATGGTCACTGGTATAACTCCGGAAGGCTACGGACAAGACCGAGTGTTGATAAGATATCAACGACTGCACAAGATTCTACAAGGACTTTTTTTCTGCTACACCGGTGACGTCACATCGCGGGAAGCTAAAGGAATCCAAATGCTTCATTTTGATTGGTCCATGAAAAGACAACGCCCTGCGCAGAAGTCGGACGTAGTTCACATGTCAGGGAATTGTTTACAAGTGACAACAACCTTTCAACGAGGGAGGAAGGTCCCAATTACAGTCCAGTTAGACGGGAACTACGTGATTCGGCTGTCTTCACGGGGTTAGAGACCTTTCCTGTCAGCATTGAAGACGATTCATCAGGCAAATTGCAGCAACATACGTTTGACAGACTTTTGGTGACATCAGCCAGTCTACTTTATATAGACTTTATATAGACTTCACAACGATGGCAGTCACAGAGTCGGACATTGCTTCGTTTCCCTTACGGACATGGCAAGGGTTTCACGATCGTTGGATCTAGATACAAGCCATTGTATCTCAAGCACTACTCTCTCCGCTATTACTACGAAGTTGGCAGAGCCTACTCAGTCCTCAAGTCGGAACTAGAGCCTACACAGGACCTGCAGTTCCTAGCAATTCAGCTCATCACAACAGAAAACCGCATAACAGTACCAGAGGACCATTGGCTAAAGATACAACAGATGGTATCGCAAGCTCTACTCTCTCCGTGGCCACTTTGACAGTGGCAGAGTCTGTTGGGTCTCCTCACGTCAGCACAAGATATGATGCGCAGAGGGAGGTTACAACTACGCCCACTACAGGTCTTCGTAATTGCACATCTGGACGATTCGGACCCACAGACAGACTAAAACCATATCTACTAAGGTGGACTCAGAGATCGAATGTTTGCGGAGGCACCTACTTAGCAGAGCCGGAGTGCAAAACGCATCTCTATGTGGACGCATCTCTCCAAGGATGGGGAGCACACCTCGACAACGAAGTGTCAGCTGGGAAATGGACGTTACAAGAGAAAGATCTACATATCAACATGCTAGAAATGAACAGACAATCTGAACATCCACATAAAGCATGCCACATTCCAGGAGCCAAGAATGTGATAGCAGACGCACTATCTCATCCAACTCAGCCATCCCCAACAGAATGGATGCTACATCCAGAAATCTTCAAACAGATCATACAAGAGATAGGAGCGCCACCAATAAACTTGTTTGCCGCAAGATTCAACAATCAACTGGTAACAATTGTCTCTCCAATACCAGATCCACGAGCATGGGCAACAGATGCTCTAAGCATCTCTTGGGAAGGACTAAACGCTTACGCGTTCCCGCCACCAGCTCTAATACTGTAAATCATGCAGACGAGGAACCTGCAACTGATTTTGATCGCACCTTATTGGCCAGCGAGAATATGGTTCCCCATTCTCATACAAGAACTAGGACCGCCTCAACTGCAACTACCAGAGTGGACGAACTTGCTAGTACATCCACACACAAAGTAAGCACACAGCAGCCCCAAGGTGTTCCGCCTACACACATAGACCGTATCAAGACGTGCTTGAATAAGAGAGGATATTCCGCCAGGGCAGCTAAAGGGGTCACGCTAGCTTTACGCAAGTCAACATGCAACTTGTACGATGACAAGTGGCGAAGCTTTGAGACCTACGCTTTGAAAACAGGCTTCACGGCCATGAAAGCAACACACGCTCAAGTGGCGTACTATCTTTGTCACCTAGACAAATGAAGCGGTTAAAAGTGTCAACACTCTCAACATACCTAGCGGCATTGAGCTCAGTTATCACTATGAGGACAATTGTAAAACTGACTAAGGTACCAGAGTTACTGGCCTTACTACACTCTTTTAAACTGGAGGACCAACAACAGAGATTTAAAGCTCCGGCTTGGGACCTCAACATAGTTCTACGGCATCTCACCAGTGACGCTTATGAACCATTAGATAGGACATCTTTTGAGTTCTTGACACAGAAAACTCTGTTCATGATTGCCTTAGCAACAGCAGCAAGGAGGTCGGAAATACATGCTCCAGACTCTGAAAGGACACGATTTGATGAAAATCGAAACATCGTGCATATGGGACTGAGATGGTACTTTATAGCAAAGAATCAACTGCCAGGTCAACCGGACAGACAATTCCACATCCCAGCACTATCATCAGTCCTTGGGCCACAGGATACACAGGACCTATCCTTGTGCCCAGTAAGAGCATTGAAAGTCTACCTACAAAGGTCTAGGACCAGGAATCGAAAATTCAAGCGTCTTTTCATCCCTATATCGGCAGAGACACAGACTGAGATCTCTCGTAGACTATGATATCAATATGGATGAGAACTGTCATTCACGGGCCTACAAAGCAGCAGGACTTGATCCTCCAAGAGCCTCAATCCACATGAAATTAGAGCTCTGGCGTCAACATTTCGCTCTACATGGAAACTGCACTATCACAAAGGATAATGGAGGGCTGCTTTTGGAAATCGGACATGGTGTTTGAGAGACATGAGGGAGCCCTGCGCCACTGAAGGCTCTGGCATTCACCATTTCGCCCACTTGTTCTAGCACAACAATTGACAGTTCCACAGAGGCTGAGACAGAGTCTCGCCCTTTTATCACATGACTTGCAAAAAAGCCAACACTCAGGAGAGTTACAGCTTTAGAGTCCATATGCACGTCAAAGACAGACTAGCATAAGTGATAAGACCCAGTACTTGTACTCATACATAAGAAGAATTAACTTCTCCACTTGATGCTTGCATCAAGAGATGGAGTTGCAAAATCCACATAAAATGTTAACAGAAGCGAGGACCAAAGTTAACAATTGTGGTCCCCCATCAGAAAGCTGGAAGTAAAGGGTTACAGCAGCAGCAGAGCCTAGCAGTAAATTGAAGTGCTACCAGGAAGTTCCCATAGGGGGGTATGCAAGACGTAAATCACTAATTGGAATCCAGAAGTGGCTTGACCCACCACCAGATCCGTCGGATTCTACAACCAATAATACATGAGTCAGGATAAGGAAAAATATGTAATTTTCTGAGTAAAATTGATATTTTATACTTATCCTGACTCCCAACCTCCCCGCTAGGCACTTTGGATTTCCCTGTAAATCGAAGTGTCGGGCTAGCAATTCGGAGAGAGTGAAGCGGTGGACGCCGTTTTCCCGCCAAAACCGAGAGGGAGACAGCTCGTAGTGAGTAGTGATTTTACGTCTGCTTTATTGAAGGGAGCTTCAAAAAGGAGATACAAGTGTTCCACTAACATTCGGGAAAGGAAGGAGACAAGCAATAATACATGAGTCAGAATAAGTATAAAATATCAATTTTAGTCAGAAAATTACATTTTTGTTTCTTTTCCACCTTGAGGTTCCTGTGTCTCTACTGTGAGAAGACATTTAGGGACCGACCCACCCTGAAAGAACATATGAGGAAAAAACAACATCGGAAAATCAATCCAAAAAACAAGAAATATGACAAGTTTTACATCATCAACTATCAGGTACCAGCCTTTATCTTATGTATCCAATGATGTATCTTAAAGCTTTTGTCATGCCAAAGACCAAAGTTCCTGTCTCAGATAGGTACAATGTTTGAAACCCATTTCTGGTGTCCCCCGAAGTGATATTGCTAGAATATTGGCAAAAGTGGCATAAAACCATGCTTACTCGTCACTCACAGTATCCACTCAACCACATGTTCAAGTAAAATAAACTAGAACATAATACTGAAACACAGATCATCTGGTAGTTTCCGAAGTTGGACATTAAAATCAGATACTTGTAATGTTTGTTTTCTTCAGATTGGTACACAAATTGATATTGTAGGAATGAAAACGCTTGCATTCCTAGAAGCAGTCATTTTAGAACCAAAATAAGTCTGAAGAACAAATTATTTTGTTGTATGTGGCTATAAATTGTACATAACTGTTTGTGAGTACACAATGCCTTTTAGAGTGTTCAAATGCAATATGTGCTATATTTTTTATTATTCGTTCTCAGTAAAATACAGACTCTAGTATTTTTTGGGTTGAGTCCCATCCGGGATTGGAACCCATGTTCTCAGGGTCTGGGTCCTAATCTCCAGCACACAAAGTCAGCCATCTAACCCACTCAGCCACCCTAGCTTCCACAAACATGAAAGTCATACAGTAAAGTACTTCCAGAAAGTATAACTATATTATAACATATGTTCATTATGTTGCATCACTGCATGTGTCAGATGGGATAATATTTCCCTGTCTAGGGTGACCTTGACCCTGAGAAATGTCAGTGTTTACCTTGTACATGCAGGAGATGGGTCGGAGCTGGGAGACCATCCAGTCTGAGGCAGACACTGCCGCTGATGACGTTGCCGAGACGGAGACTGATGAGGAGGAGTGAGGCATTTTTTCATATGCTAAAACAAACATTTCCAACATAAATCATCATTTACGTTTGATTTGTTTATTACCTTACGATCCAAACTTAAAGATGAGTAAATAGGTCACACAGTGAAATTAGGCAATGTATACTCAGAGGTAAAAGTTATTGTGACATGGAATGTATCATTGGTAATCTTGTGAATGAATTATTTTAATTTGAAACCAAGAAAGAGTGTTAAAATGGTCGAAGAAATAAAAGGCCAACAAATGACATTTCAACACAATATACTACATGTTGCTTGAATTATACAGCAATATCTTAATAATCAGAAGAATGTTAATGTGTAACCTTGAGCCCTGTTTCACAAAGCTCTTGTTAGCCTAAAATCTCGTAACTTTTATCGTAGTAATCGTATCTCCTATAATGTAGCATAGACTTACGAAAGTCGTAGCTTTGTGAAACAGGGCCCTGGTCTGCAAGATCCCCTGATCTGTCACCCATTGGATATGTCGAGAATAAAATGGAATGATGTTTACGCCATCATCCAAGTCTTCCAACAACATGGCAAGAACCGTTGTTCTTGCTCTGGGACTTACATCGATGCTTGGTGGCTTCAGTGAGGCGAAAGGGGTGGTGGGGTAGCCTGGTAGTTAAAGCGTTCGCTCGTCACGCTGAAGGTCTGGGTTCGATTCCCCACATGGGTACAATGTGTGAAGCCCATTTCTGGTGTCCCCTGCGATGATATTGCTAGAATATTGCTCAAATCGTCATGAAACCCAACTCACTCATTCAGTGAGGCGAAATTGCCAGATCCGCATCAAGGCACAAGGTGGACATACTCGCTCCTTACCATGTGAACTTGTGAACCCTCTCTTGTATTGTGGCTAATATGCATATACCAGGCATGCTGTTCTTATGTACTGTTGATCGTTGCCATACCTTGAAACATTTGTCATTCGTTTCAGTAACAGGTTAACAATGATTCTTTTGTGTGTCACAATAACTTTTGCCTTTGAGCATGTTCCAAATCTGTCGACGACCTACCTATCAATCAAAATCTGTATCACACACACGGAACTGTGGTGGTGCCATCCTTATTATTGACTGACTTTATGATATTCCTGAGAGGGTGCATGCAGTGAGTGAGAGCAGGTTGTCTGTGTTTCAGTGAGTGGTCTGGATGGCTAGAGGAGGCTGGATCCCAAGCCTTGTGTTTGTTCTGTGAGTTCTCCTCCAGCATCCCCGACAGACTGCAAGCACACATGGTGGTAGGTCTTCTCCAGCTGCAACCTGTTCACCTCACACGACTTGTGTTCTCAATCCATGCTTTCGGTCTATTATACAGCATAAAGAGAACTGGATAATATTGATTCCATTGACCTCACCTATCACTGATTATTGATTGATTTCCACAGGTTTTATGAAACTGTAATTCATAATATGTAGTTAATATCAATATATGAAGAATAAGAACATTTGGGCACAAATGGGTACTATTTCTGGTGTCTCCCGTCGTGATATTGCTGGAATATTGCTAAAAGCGGCGTAAAACTAAAGTCACTCTGCCAAGACAGCTATATGGCATGATACTTGCATTCACTCACTCAATGTTTTCCATATTTGTCACCAAGGAGCTGCATGACTTTGACCTACATGAACTGAAGCTAAAGTTGACCCTGAACTTCTACCAGAAGGTCAAACTCATCAACTTCATCCGCAGACAGGTATGTGTACAGGAACAGACAACATCTTCGCTGTCAGCAGGTTGTTTCACTGCATTGTCTAGTCCAGACACATTGCTGGAATATTGCTGTAGGGCAGTGTGGAGTAACAAAGACACACACACACACACACACAATTAATTTCCTTTGTTGATGGAATTTTTCACTCAAATTGTCAGGTGTTGAGTTTTGAAGTATCACATAGTGTATGCGTAAGTCGGTGTGTCTTTACTCTCCTAGGTATCACCATTACAGTAGGTGTCGCCACGAATCTTGCATCTGAATTCTTTCTGTCCAAGACCAAAGACTTTAAGATGAATCAAAAGAGTTTCGACTATATGAAATAATTGTTTCAGATGAATATTCAAGTACAATGCATTGAAGTACTTCAAATTCTGTGTATTTGTGAACTGCTGTTTCTTGCATGCCGCTGTGACTGTTCCAGATTCACCAGTACACGTGTTACGGATGTCAGGGAACATGGAACACCAAGCATGACCTCCTGGAACACATGCACTCCATGAGACACGTCAATGACATCCCCGACATGCGGGTGTGGGACCAGCCTCAGTACGTTCTCAATTTCCTCTCTGGGTTCTGGTTTTGAGTGGCCCTCCATATGCTTGTCATAAGACATCTTAATGGACTGGATGGTCATTGCACCCCGACAGCCTGGATGGTTATTCCCAAGATCAGTCACTGGATTGATTGGTCCAGATTAAATTATTAACAGGCTACTGTCAAATATGTGAAATATTCTGAGTACAGTATTACACTACGAACACATAGGTTCTCCACTATCACTATTATTTCAACGTAACAGTTTGGTACAGGTGCAGATATCTTTGACCCACATGTGGACATGGATATATGGATAAGATTGTAACTTATCCACCAGCATGAGCTTTGAGATCAACACAAGTGCACAAGACAGTGACTCTTCATTCCAGACAAAGAAACAAAGTTGACAGAATGATTTTCTCTCTGTTGCTGGTCCAAAGCTCTAGAACTCTGTTCCACTTGAACCAAAACAAGCGGACTCCTTGATTACTACAAAGATGTTGTCTAAATTCAAATTTTCACCTTACACATGATGACTGACTTTCCAACCCGGTGGGATAAGTCGTACGACAGTTAAACTTCTAGCACCTCACAGGCAGCTTGGTTTAACTGGGGTAATAATGTCTTAGTGCTTTGAGCATGCACAAGTATGTAGGTACAGGCACTTTATAAATGTCCAATATTATTATTATAACTGTATTTTTCATATCTTTCCATAAACACCACTGAACAGTTGGATATAAGTGAACGTCATGGCACGATACATGTGCAGTATGGTAATGCATTGTGCTCTACTGTGTGTGTCCTGATATTTAGGTTTACATTCAACAAGAAGAAATCCAATGCAATGGCAACACCAGCAGTTTATCTATTATGATTTACTTTTGTTCAGGTACTACTTTCCTACCTACGAGAATGACAACCTTCTGTGCCAACTGGATGATGACGACAGTGATGACAGATCCTGCAGCACAGACGATGGTGCACCTGTCATTGCTGAGGATATCCAGTGAAAGACACCATACTGACCGATGAACATCTTCGACAAGAAATAATGTGGTCATGACCAGTCGCCAACAGAGCTGGATGTACATACAGTGTCAATATTCATAATTTATTTGTATGTAAATACAATCACATGGGAACTTGGGTATTATGTCTTTTTTTCATGTCCAGATTAAAAAAATCCTCGAACAATCATGTCTTATTTCATATTTAACTTGCAATAATGTGTAATGGTAAAATGCAAATAATTATCTTGTCACATTTTTGTAAATGTGTCGCCTATGTAGTTTAATTGTGATAAATTGCCTCAAAGGCTGGACAAACTTTCTATTTTTCACATGCCCATGATCTATGAAGTCCTACACCATCCTCATGATCTAGTGAACAGAAGGGGTCTGCCCAGAGAATAGAAGGTTCCTCCGAGTGGCAGGGATTTAGTGATCTCTCAATGGGGTATCTAAGGTATCTTAGTGGTCTACAGCGTCATATATGACTTTAACAGCAAACATTATATTTTAAGACATTATTTACCTAATAGTTTTATCATGGTTTTCTTTATCCTTTATTCCTTAATTCAATATATTTTTCCTTATCCTGACTCATGCTATTTGCTTGTCTTCTTCTTGCGAACACAGTGGAACACTTGTATCTCCCAATTGAAGTTCCCTTCAATGTCAAATAACTAATTAGTACTCACCACGAGTTATCTTTCCCCTCGTAAGCGCGGGAACGAGGGCGCCACCTCCCACCATGTGCCTCACTCTCTCCTTCTTCGCCCAGTGACCAGGACGTGAGAGCGCCTGTGTCTCCCTACACACTATATCCTTTATTTATATTTAGTTTGTTACATCTTATATTCATCTATAGAGGTGTAACTAGTATCCTTATTCAACATGCATTGATATTTATTCGTGTTTCTGCTGCTTTATTCACGGTCCGCCGTGTTTGCTCAGCAGACTGCGTTAATGAAAATCTGCACTGTTTGTAAATTACGTTACTCTGCTGCCGATCCGCATTTAGTATGCCCTAGTTGTACAATGCCATGCTCTATTGTTTCACGCTGCAATTTATGTATTAAATTGTCTAATTCTACCTTTGATAAATATTTATATTGCGTCTTGAGACGTGCAGCAGATAGATCTCGGAAACAATCTTCAGTCATGGCTGATAGATCAGAGTCAGATATACCCTGTCAACTGTTGGCGGATGACCCTCTACCGTCTGGTGTTCCGCCTGAGTTACCTTCGGGGGAGAAGTGGACGGTCCGCTATATCCGCTATAGTTTACCTGCATCCCAGGACGTTCCAACATCACAGTCTAAGGATGATGACATTCCGATTATCATTCCAGATGTACGGCATAAGAAGCGACCAGTATCGGCTACCGTCACTTCAGCGCAGATCAACATGCAACCAGAGATGCCTACGCTGGCGCCTGAGATTCTAACTGAGGGTCGATGCCGCTACCACAGAAGGCAGCCTCAACGCCAGCGCGAGACCGTCCCAGGCGACCTGGTCACCCAGATCATGATGTTGATGGAAGACCGATACACGGTTTACAGAGGCCTCAGAGCGAGGCCCAGAGCCCAACCCATAAAAGTCATGTAGGGCCCCAGAGCCCGCTATGACTTCGGCGTGAGGGCCCCAGAGCCCATAAACGCCTCCACGTAAGGGCAACCCAGCCCGTATCGAGAGCCTTCGCGAAGAACGCCCAGGCGCATCCACCGAAGGATCCAGATCCTCACCAGTCGGAGGGGCTTCACGGAAGAGGAGTGCTTCACCGAGCTCAGACCCTGAAGAACACAGAGGTCGTTAGCAAGCTCCTATATAATGATTAGGACTCTGACTCGATACCTTCCATGGCGAAGGTTAAGTGGCTCCAAGTCATCTTCACCCAGAAGATCTAGAAGGGATTCATTGAGAGCTTCCGAAGCCACCAGCGTCGCCGAGGAAGTCTCCTCCAAGGTCTCCCCATACTAGCCACTTTCGTCAGTCCATTCACCACAATCTTCTCGTCGATCTTCATACAGATCTAGGACTCCACCTCACTCTATTATATGTGATCCTACGTCAGAAGAGGAAGAAGGTATCGTATTCTCGGATGCAGAAATTAGATACTGGATGGTGAATGGATTGGAACGCGTTTCTTCGCTCTAGAACGAGAACTCAGCTCATACTTATTTGATGAAGGAAGATGATGCGGACACTATCTCCTTACCTCCTATTGACCCGATAGCAGCGGTTCCAGCTAATCTGGATACAACCTTTACCAAATCTTCGAAGTTTCAGTCAACACATTTCCCGGTTTTCAACGCTAAGAAATTTGCAGGTCACAATATGGACTCCTTTTTCAAGGCTCAAGAGATTGATGACAACTTTAAGTTAATCAGCGATGCCAAGTCCAGGAATTACAGAATAGACGATCGCAAACTAGCCCAGTTGGATACCATTTCTAGGAGAATGTTTTTTGGATTGAATAGATCTAGAACTGTCAATGAAACCCTCATCACCAAGTTCAAAGATTCTACAGAGGAAGAAGATAGGATGATCTACTCGGCTCTACTCATGCAGAAAAGAGACCAACAGTTCCTTACAGATCACTTGTCAGCGCTTACTGCAGCTACTACCATGGCTCGTCGTCAGGGTCTACTAGCCTCCTGCAATTGGGGTAATCAATTTACGGAATCCTCAACGCTGCCCGTGGTCATGCATCGCCTTGCTCTTTGGTGGTAACATAGACAAGGTCTCCAAAGAGGTGTCTAAGGACTCTAGAGAGGTGCTTATGATCAAGTCCATGGATACGCTTAGCTAATGTCATTAAGCAATCATCCTTGAGATACTCTGGCAAGTCTAAATTCTCTGGACTACAGAAAGCACGGGACAAGAAATTGGCTACAGCAAAAGGTCCCAAGGAATCTTTTCATTAAGCCCATAGAGCAATTTCAGAGGAGGATCAGCAAGAGGCAGATCATCCAGAGGTTCCCAGCGTTTAGACGATGAAATACAGGTTCGGAACGACTGGAGTCTTCCACCCCAGCCGTTCCAGTACAACTTTCTCAAGTGGGTGGGCCTTCAGCTGCACTGGGAAAACTGGGGATTCCTACAAGATCCTTATGTATCCAACATCCTACAGCACGGATATCAAATACTACTCAAGGCCATACCTCCGTTGACAGTCATCCCTCAAGGTTCGAGCTTCCATCCGGCACAACTACCAATGTTAAGAGAAACAGTAGCTACTCTTCTAAACAAACAGGCCTTAGAAGTTCTGGATCAATGAAACATCGTACCAGGTTTCTACTCCCCAGTTTTCCTAGTGCCCAAGAAAAATTCCAAGGAAAAGTTTGGCTCATATACAACATGAGCATCTTCAACAGAGACTATCTAAGCAAACCGCCAGCAAGCCAGCATGATACACTTACCATAACCGCACTTAATTGGTCCCAAAGATTACATGGCCAGCATAGATTTGCAAGATGCATATCTACACATTCGATTCATCCAAATTCAAGGAAATATCTAAGATTTATCCTAGGCGGAAAACATTACCAATGGAAAGTACTTCCTTTGGAATCTCATCGCCCCTTGGGTATTCACAAGAGTGATTTAAACCTATTGTCTCATACCTACATCGTCCAAGGTCTTCGCCAGCGTTTTACCTAGACTGGACGGGATACAAGTGGATCCAGATCCACAGCGTCTCAGACTACAGCTGAACTTTATAATCAAGTTACTAACTCAACTAGGATGGTTAGTAAATCTACTCAAGTCAGACCTAGAACCAACATAAGATCTGCAATTTCTAGGTATACGCATTTCTAACAGCCCAGAATCGTGATAGTAGTCGGGGAGGACAGATGGATCAAGATCCAACAGTTAATCCCACAAGCCTTACTCTCTCGCTACCACTACGACAGTGCCAGATCCTATTGGGACTACTCACATCAGCTCAAGACTTGACAGTCAGAGGCAGACTTCAATTACGTCCGTTACAAGTCCTCATCAATGCGCATCTCGAAGACCCTCTACCGTTCAGTCTACCAGATCACGTCAAACCTCATCTACTTTGGTGGACCAAGAGATTGAATGTTTGCGAAGCGCCTCCTTAATAGAGCGAATCAGAAACACATCTCGTAGGCGCGTCACTACAAGGTTGGGGAGCCCACCTTGCCAACAGGACAGCGTGAGGCCTATGGAGCAATCAAGAGAGCAAGTTACACATAAATCTGCTAGAGATGCAAGCAGTCATAAACGCCATAAGTCACTGGAGCAACCTACTACAGAACGCTCAGTTGATGATTCACACAGACAATTCGACAGTGGCGTTTTATGTGCACAAACAAGGCTCAACAAGGTCACCGAACCTACTGTCTCTATGTTTCCGATTATTCGATCTAATCGACAATCTAAACATACATGTCAGAGCTTGCCACATTCCAGGAGCAAAGAATGTATTAGCAGACGCTCTCTCTCGGCCACACCTACCTTCGCCGACAGAATGGATGCTCCGCACAGAGATATTCACTCAAATAATCAAGGAAATAGGATCTCCTCTAGTAGACCTATTCGCCATTCGATTCAACAAACAACTGACAACGTTCGTATGGCCAGTTCCAGACCCACTAGCATGGGCAACGGACGCACTAAGCATATCGTGGGAGGGACTCAACGTGTACGCTTTCCCACCACCAGCGTTAATCCCACAAGTCTTGCGGAAAATCAGTCAAACGCAGAGCGTCCATCTGATTTTAGTCGCACCCTACTGGCCAGCGAGAAAGAGGTTTCCAACTCTTATTCAAGAAATCGGACAACCAATTCTACAACTTCCAGAATGCTCGAATCTGTTGATACATCCGCACACCAAACTAGCGCACGGAAAACCAGAAGTATTCCAACTTCACGTATGGATTGTATCAAGGCATGTCTGAATAAGAGAGGTTATTCAGCCAGAGCGGCAAAAGCAGTCACGCTTGCCCTGCTGACTCAACTCGCAACTTATACGATGACAAATGGCACAGTTTTGTCAATTATGCTGCAAAGAAAGGATTTACAGCCAGATATGCTACTCATCCTCAAGTGGCGGACTACTTATGTTATCACATCAGACTAAGAATCTGAAAGGCTCAACTTTGTCCACTTATCTTGCTGCAATAAGCTCTGTCATAACTATGAGAACGGGCGTCAAGTTAACAAAAAACCCAGAGTTACTCGCTTTGCTACGAGCATTCCGATTGGAGGATCAAAAACGGAAGTTTCACGCTCCAGCTTGGGATCTAAATATAGTGCTCCAACACCTCACAAGTGAGGCTTATGAACCATTAGAATCTACATCGTTTGAATCACTGACTCAGAAAACTTTGTTCCTGTTATCACTAGCTACGGCTGCCAGGATGTCAGAGATTCACGCATTGGATTACGAGAGAACACGCTTTGATGATATTCATAACATCGTTCATCTGGGACTACGCTGGGATTTTATAGCTAAGAACCAATTGCCAGGTCAACCAGACAGATTATTCCACGCCCCAGCTCTCTCATCTATACTTGGACCTCATGATCACGATGGATCTATCACTATGCCCAGTAAGAGCACTGAAAATATATCTCCACCGATCCAAACAGAGGAGAGCAAAATTCAAGAGATTATTTATCCCTCTATCTACAGCTACGCAGACGGAAGAAGTCTCACGTGCTACTATCTCCATTTGGATCAGAACTGTCATACTACGTGCCTACAAGGCTGCAGGACTCGACGCTCCAAGAGCATCTAATCCTCATGAAATTAGAGCGCTAGCATCTACACTTGCTCTACACGGCAACTGCTCTTTGAATACCATAATGGAGGGTTGTTTCTGGAGATCCGAGATGGTGTTTGCCAACCACTATCTGAGAGATATCACCACCGAGGACGTCCCAGGTATCCACCATTTTCGCTCAACAGTTGACAGTTGCTCGGAAAAGATAAGTCAATCTTACAGATTTTATACTTATCTTATATCAGTACTAAATAGCTACATGCCATATATATATTTTGCTTAAGTTCATTTTATTATCTTAAGCTCAGTACTATGGTTGTTATGTCATACAGTATATTAGCTAACAACTCTAAGGAGTTTTGCTATTATATATATTTAGCTTAAGTTTCATCATATCTTAAGCTCAATATTATGGTCACATTTTAAAATGTATTAGCTAACAAACTCTACGGAGTTTTTGCTATTATATAGCTTAAGTTAAATTATATCTTAAGCACAGTACTATACTCATATAGCTTAAGTTTATTCATATCTTAAGCTTAGTACTTTGGTTACTTCATAAAAGTATATTAGCTAATAAACTCAAAGGAGTTTATGCTATCATATTAGCAACTTAAGTCTACTAGTCTTAAGCTTTGTATTAATGTTGTATATACTTTTATCATAATATTTATATTGTAATAACCCATATATGGCAGCTGATAAGTTAGCAGCAGGAATTCATCAGTTCAGTGCCTTTATGAAGTTCCCATAGGGTTATTACAGTCATTACAGTTCAAAATCACTAATTATCCAAATCCAAAGTATTATATATTCCCACCTCCATAGCCGTCGGATTCTACAAGCAAATAGAATTGATATTTTATACTTATCCTGACTCATGAGGTAAGCCCTCCCGTCCTCCCCACATAACACTTTGGATTTCCCTGTAAGTTCAAGTGTTGGGCTCGCTATAAAAGGAGAGAGTGAGGCACATGGTGGGAGGTGGCGCCCTCGTTCCCACGCTTGCGAGGGGAAAGATAACTCGTGGTGAGTACTAATTAGTGATTTTACATTGAAGGGGAACTTCAATTGGGAGATACAAGTGTTCCACTGTGTTCGCAAGAAGAAGACAAGCAAATAGCATGAGTCAGGATAAGTATAAAATATCAATTTTATTCAGAAAATTATATTTTTCTTTTTATGGATGGTATATATGTAAAAAGTAAAGCAAAATGTGGCTGGTTGTGAAACATATTTTACTTTTTTATAATGTCTTGCTTATGTAAATGTTTGACTTATTACCAGTAATTAATAAACTACTTCTGTTTGTCTATAAAAATTCATTATTCAGGACAAGTGCAAGCCAGTAAACTTGTAAAGGCACACACTTCACCACAACTAAACTCAATCACCACAACAGTTTCATTCCCTCTTTAGTTAGAAACAAAAACACCTCAAGAGACACAAGTCACAAAGCAGCATGTTTTGATACATTCCAGGAATCGTTTTGGGACCAGAGCATGACTTTCTGAGCATGTGGTATAAACAACATGCATGGTTTTAATGCAGACTATGGACTGTTCAGTGTTTAAGGTATCAATAAATGCAAAACATGACAACAAATGTTAGCTCCTGGAGTATCAAGGAGTAGACATAGCCAGATTGGAAAACTGTGATGAAAACAAGACGTCCAGTGAAGCATTACAAGGATCTGGTCCTTGTCCAGGCCGGGGTGGTCCAGAACCCCCAATCCCTTCACTACTAACTCATAATCTAAGGCTTGGTATGAATGAAGTTGGTATGACAACAACACAAGTTCCAAAAGATCTATTGGCTCAGGACATGATGACCTACAGTCGATTAGTGCGAGTCACATTTACCCTTATCATGTATTTAGACCCTGAAGAACACTGATCCAGAGAGTAGCCTTACCTAATAATTACCATTGTATGTCATTCTATACTACCGTGTTAAGTCATTGATGACTGCTGCTATAAAACAACAACGGCAGTGGGGTAGCGCAATTACTTAAAGAGTTCTCACATCAAACAGTTAGATTTCCATCATGGGTACAATGTGTGAAGCCCATTTTTGGTGTCCCCGTTGTGATATTGCTGCAATATTATTAAAAGCGGCATAAAACCATACTAAAAAAACAACAAAGCTTGGGGGACATTTCCGCAAATGGGGACAACTCGAAATCATTATTTGCATGTGACCTCTCTGTGAATCGTGTTGAAGTTTCTGTTGTAGATGTGTATGCAGTTTTAGTTTAATATCATTCATGTCCTTTGACTCTAAGGTTTGGTAAAAACATCCCTTTTGGTGAAAAATCAAATTAGGTTTTCACGTAATTGGCATGAACTGATGTAATGAGATGTTTTCAGGTGGATGCTCATGATGCCAGTTACTGGATCGTCTAGTCCTGATCGTCTAGTCCTGATCGTCTAGTCCTTTTCCTTGTTTCATTTGTGCCAAATATTATTTACATTTTTACTTTGTCATGATTAAAAGATTTTGTCAAGGTTAATCAAGCACAGTGATTTTGTTGTGATTTTGCTTTATTAATCAAGGATTAACTCGATTATATGTAGTTTTTTGTTAAAAAAACATCTTGCAATATATTGCAATACATGTCGCAATATATGCTTTCGCATCGTAATATATTGCAATATGAAAATTCTCTGCAATACCCACCCCTATGTATGAATAAGTGAAAACATGAGAATAAGTTATATCCTTATGATTACGTTATCTGAAAGGGGGTGGGTAGTGTCTCCAAAACAAGCTCTTTCAGTAAACCCTTACATCCCATAAGTGTTTGGGCTGGTCATTGTATGAAATAGGTAACAGGCAGGAGATTAGCAGTGCACTGGACTGTGAACTTTGTTGTTATAAGCTATAGGGGTTTATGGGATGTAGGGGTTTTGGGAGGTTAAAGTCCTGACTCGTTTGTTTACAGACCACCGTCATATAGGTAAAATATTTCTGCGTGTGCGTTAAACAACCAAATAAAGGAGCATTATAAAATCGAAGGCAATTGCATGTATCTGAAGTGGCAGTAAAAGGTGATATAAACGACGATTTGAACGACACAAATATAAAGGATCTTTGATCAATAATATCGGCGAGGTTACGTATCTCATTGAAGTCTTTGATAAATTATGGACGGTCGCGTACCGATCCGTCGAATTTCTGATTTCAGAGTAGTAAACTGCATTCGACAGATGAGCACTGTGATCTTAGCTATTAATTAGTTATCAAAACATTGGATCATACAAAAAAAAAGACGCAAGGGAAGTTGGATGGTTTGACTCTCTTTATTTTTGTACGTATGTACTTAACTTTGATTACTCAGTCGATACAATGAGAAATTGATGCATTAAATATATGTTTTGACTCTCTTTATTTTTGTACTTTTGTACAAAATTGAAACCGATGCATTAAATAAAATGCATCCATACGAAGAAATATATACAAGGACATTTTATCTATATTTGCATTCAATACAATGAAACATTATTTCATTGACACGTTTTCACGATCACCATACTCCGAGCAAGTGTCCAACACAATCAATGTAGCCCATTAATCCGATGTCGCCGCTCTGTAAGTTTAAATCCTTTTGGCATGAGTTGACCAAATTATGAATGTGGTGTGTCCATGTCATGTTGTGGTCGAAAGTTAGTCTTAAGAACTTAGCTTCCTCTTTGAATTCAATTTCTTGGTTATTTAGGTGCAGTTTGGGGGTATAATTTTGCATTCGCTGTGTTTAATAGAATGCCCTCGTTTTTTTACGTTAGTATGGAAACCCCATTTTTGAGCCCATTTTTGGATATGACTTAGCATAGTTGGGGTTTTACTGATTATTTTTTTACAGACGTGGAGGAGGTCCAGAATGAAATGTCGTCTGCGATGGGGTAGGCTGATGGTTTAAATCATCTGATCGTCGCAACGAAAGGTTCAGTTCCCCATGTAAGTATTCGTTGTGTTCCTTTGGTTTTGTAATGTTACTGACAGTGGTGTGCTAGGGGTCACTGATAAGTCCCGAACCTCACCTAGGTGGACGTAAAGACATATATTTTCCAACATTTTCCCCTTCCACACTGATACAGAGAGAATGAAATTTCGTAGTATCTCTTGGGGTAGCCTAGTGGTTAAAGCGTTCGTTCGTCACGCCGAAGACCCGGGTTCGATTCCCCACATGGGTACAATGTACATTTCTGGTGTCCCCCTACCGTGATATTGCTGGAATATTGCTAAAAGCGGCGTAAAACTAAACTCACTCACTCACTTTCTTGACCAGCTTCAAACAGCTCGATTATCACGAGACGTTTTATGTCTGGCGCGTTATTTTTAACAAATATCAGCCTCGGAACTCTCCTAGCTGATATATTCGTCATTTATAAAGTATATTTTGGAATGGAATGCACTCTCTCCTGGAGATTGCTCACACAACTGCCAACATGAGGTCTCAGTCGTTCGCACATCGTTCATTCTCTGGATAATTCCAAGTGTTGTTGACTGACAGGCCTTTCAGTGATTGGACTGTCTACAAGGCACTCCTGAGCATCCTTCCCAACTGTTGGACTCATGTTCAAGGATAGCTTTTGGTGTTGAGCCCTCTTTCTGCAGGTATTTGATCACTTCATGCAATAGCAAACGATTAAACAGTTCCTGCCAGCTGGTCAACTCCCTGACAATCAAAATCCTTACAAATCAGTCACCCATTCACTCACAACGAACATGAACAAAGAGACGTCTCCTGCATGTATCTTTACGAATGCTTCTAGGCCACAAACACCACTTTTGTGGTCGCTGAGGTAGAGTTCGATCTAACGCTGCAATAAAACCTAGTTTTTGGGTCACGTGTTATTCAGTGGATTGGTATACCACTAACGTTAGTTGTTCACACCGATTACGTAACCTGAAGGGAGAATATGACGTCAGGTACCGGAAGTGTCGTCATGTCACCGGAATCCCGTTGGCCCATTTTACCCTTATCCCTCACGGTTGGGTCCTTCCCTTGGTTACGGGTTAATCTATTAACTTTAGAGTGAATGATCCTAGGCCAGTAGTCTTATAACTTACAGTCATAAAGACATTTTCCTTATATAAATTGTCATAGTTCCAACGCTATCTGAGTATAATTTTTTTTTAGTATTCGTGGAGTATGCCCTAAGTTAAGCTTTTGCTCATGCCCTCCTTTCCTTATGTGGAATTCAGGCAACCATAATCAAGAGGGAATGTATAATTAGGAACAATGTCATGTTTTGTTAGTAATTGTTAGTAACCTCTAGATTATGGGGTTTAGCTCCCTCCCTTTCTTCTTATCCTCCCCGCTAATCATGGCAGAAGATTCTGTTATTCATAAACAATGTGAGGTTTCAAAGGGCGCGCTCTGACGTCACGAGTTTAGGGGAGATAACTGCACGGGGTGAGGGCATACCACCAGGGGAACTATGATTTGGGGATCGTTGTTTTTCCCTTTTTCTGTATGTGTCTGTGGTAACCACGGGCATAAGGCAACCATAATCCAGAGGTAAGTTTACTAACAATTACTAACAATACTTGTAATTGTTCCAAATGTGGTCGTTGCAATTTCTTCTCAAATGCCCTTGGCATAATGACGTAAAACAAAACCTAAGAAAGGATGTGCTTGAAGTTGATGATACATTTTCATCAGTTTTTGGCCCCAACATCATGTATGTATCCCTTCAAAAGGCAGTTTTGTACAATATGGTGTTATATAGATGGGCTCTCAAACGGCTTAAACAGATCACGTATTATGATTTGTAATCATTTTAACATGCTGTCTTCTTGATCTTCTTCTTTTAATGAGTATTTAATATTTCCGAAATGAAAGTGTCTACTCAGGTGATAATCCATATTATGAAGCCGAGTTATTCTGATGTCGTTTCTTTTACCCGTCATGAATGTTCAACGTATACATGTATCCAAATGAATATTAATTATGTATCCTTAACGTGATATAAACGATTTCATTTTGCGATGTAATACCTTGTCAAGGTTTGGGACATAACTATGCCTTTTGTTACCCCACGGCGACCGTATGCTATTACGTCATCACCTCGTAGTGCCACCTAAATGGACTGGATCACCCGTTACCATGGACACAAACAGCGATAGGTGTAAGGGAAGTGTCATGTCATTGTCTGTGGAGAGCAATGGTTCAGCCTTCCTCTTAAACATTTCATTTGGTCATATGGAGACTATTTGTCTCTTCCTTCATGCCAATAAGGCGGTGGGGTAGCCTAGTGGTTAAAGCGTTCGCTCGTGACACCAAAGACCCGGGTTCGATTGCCCACATGGGTACAATGTGTGAAGCCCATTTCCGGTGTCACTCGCCGTGATATTGCTGGAATATTGCTAAAAGCGGTATAAAACTCACTCACTCACTCACTCCTTCATGCCAAGCTGGAGTTTGATTCGCAACAGAAACACAACAGAAAACAAACTGAACACTATCTTGTCAATAATATTCATTGCAACTGGTGGTATTAAATAATCACATGTACATAGTTAATAACAATTACATTATTCCTTTTCACATGCTTGACTTAACAAACTGCTTAGGGCGTTCTCAAGGGTTTTAAACATTGGAGTTATCACCATGAAACATTTATCTTCTTCAGATATTGGAATCATGAGCTTTGAAGAGAGCTAAGGCAAATATAACATATTCTCTCCACCGTTACAATAGTAACAGAATCAGCACCATTGGGCACTTAACATGCAGATGATGTCACTATCCAGGACCAACATGCTAAACATATCTTAGAGCTACCACTAGCACAACACCCACACTTTAACATAAATCCTCCATGACTGTATCGCTAAAATTGCCTTTCAATATAGCCTAATCTTGTTCTCACTTTTACTGTTCATAGGCAAAATGAAAAACCGAAGTGTGTTTTAAAAGAAGGCACTAGGTTACCAAGTGGACAAGGTATACCGATGTAGGAAATGGACGGACTCAGGCATACACGAAAAACTCATTCGAAGGATTCCATGTGTACATCTGAAACATGGCGTTTTGTAAATTAACTTGGACGTCGTTGTGGGAAACTGTAGTCTTCTTCAGTTTTCTCCGGATATTGAGGTATTATGTTATGATAAAGATGGTAAATCGGATATTCCAAGGGGCTGCATGGGTAAGTGAAGGTGTCATCATGCACAAGTAAATAATGGCTTCATGGAATATTGAAGATGGCATCATGGACTATTGAAGAATGGCATCATGGAATATTGAAGATGACAGCACGGAGTATTGAAGAATGGCATCATGGACTATTGAAGAATGGCATCATGGAATATTTGAGGAGGCATCATAGATTATTGAAGATGACATCATGGACTATTGAAGAATGGCATCATGGAATATTTGAGGAGGCATCATAGATTATTGAAGATGACATCATGGACTATTGAAGAATGGCATCAGATGAGGCATCATGAAGGATGGACTATTGAAGAATGGAATATTTGAGGAGGCATCATAGATTATTGAAGATGACATCATGGACTATTGAAGAATGGCATCATGGAATATTTGAGGAGGCATCATAGATTATTGAAGATGACATCATGGACTATTGAAGAATGGAATATTTGAGGAGGCATCATAGATTATTGAAGATGGCATCATGGAGTAATGTCAGTCAATGTGAAGTGAAGTGGCATTATGTACATGGGCAGAGGAAGTTGGCTTCATCAAGTTGTGTAGATAGCGTCATATGATGTGGTGAGATATTGTGTATGTGGAGAGATATTTTGTATGATGTGGTGAGATATTGGATATATTATGTGCAGAGATATTGCATATGATGTGGTGAGATATTGTATATAATGTGGTGAGATATTCTATTTGAGGAGGAGAGATATTGTATATGGTGTTGTGAGATGCTGTAATTTGTTGAGTGAGATACTTTACACGATGTTGTGGATGTTGTAGATTGTTGCGTGAGATACTATACACGATGTAGTCGTACACAGTGGCACAGTGGAAGATTGAGTACAAGGCCATACATATCCCTCTGATATTTGGTCCTTTGGTATGTACTATATTCATAACCTGTGCTAACGCACTCTGAAAACATGTCTGCCATGTCTTCGTTAGTAGAATTTTAGACATCGGAACGGCTGTCCTCCTCGTTGTATCGCCTGGCGGTTGTGGAGACGTCTGGTTTCTGCTCATATTTTCATGTCGGACACTTCAGTAATAGGGGAATAGTCGGTCCTGTGACAGATAAGATATTATTGAAATTGTGATCACCCGACCCTTTAAGTCGCCTCTAAAGACAGGCATAGGACTTTGGGTTTGTTTTTAACACCGCACTCAACAATAATGGTAGCATAAATATATACTGAACAACATTAGAAACGCACCACCCATATAATACGAAATATCCCCGTCAGACTGAAATGTACCCATGATATCTGAGCATCGTTGGTGCATTTTAGCGTGGTGCGTTTCTAATGTTGTTCAGTATATATATATATATATATATATGTTTTAGACAAAACCATCCAGTGATCAACAGCATGAGCATAGAGCTATGCAACTTGGATACAATAAAACGTGTCAACCAAGTCAGCGAGTCTGACCACCTGATCCCGTTAGTCGCCTCTTACGACAAGCATGGGTTGCTGAGGATCAATTGTAACCCAGATCTTCATGGATTCATAGGACGTGGGGAATGATAACTTTTAATAATAATATCTTCGTGAATGTACGTCTTTCCAAGCCATTCATATTCTGAGATAAAGGAAACATATTAATACTTTAAAAAATGAGGAAAGTCAGTGCATGAAATATTCACCCATCCATCCCATCTAATCCATTTTCCTCTACTTCGAGATAAAAATACATTATAACAATGAAACGGTAAGTAAGTGAGTAACCACATGAACCATGCAACAAATAAATACCTCTCGGGCATAGGAATAACGCTGACTCCACTGTTATTCACTCTGTTAGTTGGGGGGCATTTTAACAATGCCAAATATCGTTGTCGGAACTTGTTGCTGACCACGACGTATATGAGGGGGTTGAGGCACGAGGAGAGTTTGGCGGACATGACGGGGATCACAGTCAGCCAGATAGGTATGGACTCCGCCTGTCCGAACGTCGCCAACAGCGACATGATGGCGTAAGGCAGCCAGCAAATCAAGAACACCAACACCAGAGTGAAACACATCTGGAAAGAAAAGCAGTTGTGAGTTTATTTGTCAGGGCCTTTGACACGTAGAGAGGTTACATCAACTTAATTCGAGTATTCGAGTTATATCACCACGTGTCAGCTAAATGTGGAAGTAAAGCCAGTGATGCAGGTTTTGTCATTACCGTATTTCGTGAAACCCAATAGCACGGGTTTGGTCCTGCAGATTTAGATACATAACGGGACACTTCGAAGCAATTATATGTTCTTGTGTGTCCAAGGGACGCTACTCTAGACGACATGTGTATTGTTTCTTGCACAATTTGCCAAATGATATTTTATCAAAATGGAGTATCGCCTGTCCGTGTCACTAAATGTGAATAATGGTGTCCCGTATTTCTACAAACAATTAGGAATATGTCGGATGTTTTTCCTAAAGCTGCTGTTATCTTTCTCCGGAGGTACAGTGATAATAAAGACATTTCTGATACCTCAATCAGGATGTATCCTATTGGACCTGTGCTGTAACTGTATTGATGAGGTAACCTGATGGTACGGGTTTTGCTCTAACAAAGTAAGGAGATACCCTGATGATACTGGCATTACTGTTAGCTTATAGGAGGTACCCTGATGATACAAATGCTGGCAAGGTGAGGAGGTGACCCGATGATGTTGTTACCCCGACTGTTACCGTTGTGAGAGGGTACCTTGATGTTAATTACGCTTACAGAGGAGATATCCTGGTGATATGGACTTTAATCGTACCTTAGTGAGGTTGGTCTCCTGTCGATCACGTCGAATCTGCATGTCCCTCTTTTCACCCGAAGGATGTTGATGTAGCAGTAGGTCATGATGATGATGTTAAGTATGACGACGAGCAGGACGAGGGATGCGATGAATATTTTGTCTGTGATCCGATCTCCTGCCCAATTCACGGTACACGATGTCTAGGAGCAGGAAAAAACACACCGAATAGTTGACATCCATCTGATTTTCTCTCACTCATTCATTCATTTTGAGAACGTGCAATTATATCTGTAAGAACCGAAAACATATTTCTGTAGCCTTCATTTAAAGTTTATAAGGGATATAAACAAGGTAATGAAATATCGAGAAAAAATTGTACCGATTTCACGGCATCTTTCTCCGCAAGAATATAAATATATCACATGTGTTATCGTGGGTGTATTTTTATTTGTTTTAATTGGTAAACAACATGTCCATACTTCCTGAGATGCCTGCCACCTGCAGACCTATACTGACTGGCCTATGCTGCCATTAATTTGTCGCGCCGCCAAGAAAACGATCGTCAGCTCGACATTAATGAGATGAAACATGGAATGGTCGGCTCGGAGTGGTTAATGGCGTGGGTATTAATGTTAATGTTAAACTACAACGCTGTATTTCAGTAGACAAGGACCTATCACTTTCAAAGTGGCACTGGTAAAAGCAGCCACACATACAAACACACGTGCAATTCTTGAACGTAACGTTTAACCCGAGTTCATCTGCCCTCCTGGACCAAGTAAAGGTTCTCTGTGAGAAGCTCTCTGACTGACTGAGTTTGGTTTTACGCCGCTTTTAGCAATATTCCAGCAACATCACGGCGGGGGACACCAGAAATGGGCTTCACTCATTGTACCCATGTGGGGATTCGAACCCGTCTTCGGCGTGACGGGCCAACGCTTTAACCACTAGACTACCCCACCGCCCCGAGAAGCTCTCTGCGGCTGCTAACCTCATTATTAGTAGCGGGGTCTACGAACGTACAGGACATTCGCAACTCCGCAGTGTGGTACGGGGAATGCAAAATAATCAATGCGGTATTCTGATTTATCAATAAACAAATCATGGTAAATTAAAAAAGGCCTACAAATATTGTAATTTTTCGATATTTGTGTCAGTAATTTAACTTCAACTCCAATTTTTCAATGCTTTCAGCTGATGTAAAATATTATTTGTTATTCAGAATATGCAATGGCGCTCCGGTGACAAAACTTATGGCATCCGAGATTTTGTTGAGAAGGGGGTGGCCCCATCACATTTTCACATGGGTAAAGAATTATTTTTGACGTACCCCAAACGGTTCCTCACTATAATCGACGCCAATAAGCAAGGGCATCACCGCCCAAAAAACCGCGTACATCCAGATTCCTATCAGCATTTTCACCAGAAAACTTCGTCTCTGAAGAAGAGTGGCTGGAAAGGTAGATATCGCATCATCCTTATTAGGTCTAAGAAACGAAAACAACAATACCATGAGTGGGTGCCTAGGTGTAATGCTCAAGATAATAGAGGATGTATTGTACTGTGCAGGGGCGTAGCTACCATTATAAGAAAAAGCCCGGGCTTACACATGATTGTTGCTAAAAGGGTGGGCAAGCCCTCAATACTATCTAAATATAAAACTTTGCAACCTATCGGGCTGACACGGAAAACAAAATGGCTTGCTACGCGCCTGCTGTGTGACGTAAACATAAGTAGATGTTACATATCGCGATAATATACTACTCAAAGTTTGATAAGGATCATATTTTTCAGCACTAGTAAAACTGTCAACAAAGGTGAATGACAACCAACACAGAGTGATTTATGTTCAGAAATGTTTACTTCAAGAAATTGTGACAGAAAAATTTGGCAAACATGACATTTCATCGCGTACTCCTAAGGTAAAGGGAGAGTACCATAAAAAGCATGGTAATTTCATGATCACGAAATTGTTTAAACTCTGCACATTCCATTTCACACTGCACAAACAAGTGTCAATAGCGGGTATGGCCTCCGTTAGCTCCAATGACAGCTTGGCAACGTCGTCTCATGCTTCCAACGAGGTTTTGAATGGACGCAAGAGAGAGATTGTTCCATTCTTGGATCAGAACATTTTCAAGTTCCTGGAGGGTGGTTGGTTGTACAGGACGACGTGAAATCGCTACCTGAAGCATATTCCAGACATGCTCGATAGGGTTGAGGTCTGGAGAACGAGCTGGCCAGTCCATACGAACAATTGTCTCACGTTCCAGGTACTCGTCCACCACCCTAGCACGATGTGGACGTGCATTATCGTCCATGAGGATGAAGTCAGGACCAACAGCACCAGCATATGGTCTCACGTACACATCCAGGACTTCATCCCTGTAGCGCACTCCGGTCATCGTGCCTCGCCTTAGGACATGGAGATCAGTTCGTCCAGCTCGACTGATTCCTCCCCAAATCATCAACGACCCACCACCATATCTGTCGTGTTCAGCAACATTAGCGTCCTGATATCGTTCTCCTGCCCTTCTCCACACTCGTGCACGACGATCTGTGAAGTCAACACAAAACCTCGACTCGTCTGTGAAAAGTACAGGGGCCCAATCAACAACCCTCCAATTCACATGAGCCCTGGCCCAATTCAAACGATCTTGTCTGTGTCGCTGAGTAAGAGGGATGCGAATACAGGCTCTCCGGGAACGAAGACCAGCTTCATGAAGACGATTACGCACAGTTTGCGTGGAAATGTTAACTCCAGTTGCATTCAGAAGATCATTTCTAAGCGCAGTCGCCGTTGCAAACCGATGACGTCGTGCTGAAATCAAGAGAAAACGGTCACCTTGCTGCGTGGTGGACCTTTCTCTGCCGCCTCCATGTCGATGAGAAGCTGAACCATGAGATTGATACCGGTTCCAAGCTCTGCAAACAACGCTCTGACTGACACCCAATAGCTCTGCAACGTGACGTTGTCTTGCACCATTTTCGAGCATTCCTATGCATCTGGCCAATTCTTCAACAGTCAAACGACGTCTTTGACGTTGTGGAGGCATTTTCATAGAGTAACAGTGACTTAAACGATGTCAGATGTAAAGACAATGCCCAAATTCAAATCAACGACAAGCACTCAGAAATGTGAAAAATGTGGGTACCATGCTTCACGTGCTACTCATGATCATTGCAGCATGCATTTCCCTACCTAACCTGTGTTTTGAGGCTCAAGAGGGGTCAGTCCAACATTGTGATGAAATTTGCGTGTCATATCAATTCATATATTGATTTTATAATGTAAGAACTATATGATCCTTATCAAACTTTGAGTAGTTTATTTACTCCCTACAGCATTGCTACAAGATACGCTTACAATGCGGTCTTAAATATGAACTGGAGTTAATCTTCATTCAGTTGCCTTTCTCATATTATAATACGTGTGTAAATATGCTCTGGGTTGATTTCAATATAAAGCAAACAATTCGAAAAAAACCCAAATAAATCATTGAGTTATGTGTTTTTCTAAAATACAATAGCGGTTGCCTTTCTCTCTTCATATGAATTAGGTGATGCCCATTGCTGGTGTCCCCCGCCGTGATATTGCTGGAATATTGCTAAAAGCGGCGTGAAACCAAACTCACTCTCACTCACCAATAGGCGGTTTGGTAGCCTAGTTGTTGCAAAGTTCGCTCGTCCCGCAGAAGAACAGGGTTCGAGTTCTAACATGGGTACAATGTGTGAAGCCCATTTCTGGTGTCCCCCGCCGTGATATTGCTAGAATATTGCTAAGAACGGCGTAAAACCAAACTCACTCACTCACTCACCAATAGGCGGTTTGGAAGCCTAGTTGTTGCAAAGTTCGCTCGTCCCGCAGAAGAACCGGGTTCGAGTTCTAACATGGGTACAATGTGTAAAGTCCATTTCTGGTGTCCCCCGCCGTGATATTGCTGGAATATTGCTAAAAGCGGCGTAACTCACTATGAATTATGTAACTATGCTATGGGTTTAATCTATACAAATCCGCAACTCTCAATAACAAACAAACCATTTACTGTGCGTGGTCTAACTGAAGGATAATCACCCATGTCTATTTCAAGCTGGCAAATAGATCAATTATCGGGGAAATACATGACCCCCGCCAGGTGTGACCAACAAGGTCTTGGCTGTTAGCAGCCGATACGCCTAGTCCCTATTCCTGACGCATACAACGACATGATGGTTATTTCAGCCTACCGCCAATCGTGTTTTCTCGTTATGTCTGAAGAAGAACACGTTTTATTAAGGAATCAATCCAGTGAAAACCATTAACTTTGTTATATTAGGTTTTGTTGATACGCCATAAGCCATTACTGTTCTTAAAGACTTCTTAGCTTCTTTGAGCTGTCCTTGTGGTTTCAATATTGTTTCTAAATAAGCAATCATAAGTATTTTTATCTGAGGACTGACGTATAAAAAAGTCGTCTTTTCCGTTTAGACAAATGAACAAAACATGATTAACACGTGACCCAAAACAATGGAACTGCGACACGTGTGTGTGTGTGTGTCTGAGTGAGTGAAGCGTTGCGAAAGTACATAGTTTGAAATAATTTATAGCGTAGAAGCATTATTCCAATGTAGCAATTAACAACTAGACCTGGTGTTAAAGTACAAACCGTTCTTGCATCATTAAGACAGTGTTCTTGATATATGTAACATATGTCAAACTGAGGGTTACACTTTCTCAGTACACTGCAGATTGATCCCAACACACCATCTCTGGAATGAAACATCCCAAATATAACAAAATTACATTTGACCACTTTCTCAAAGACATTATGTATTGATTCCTTGATATATAATCCTTGATGTATTATAAGCATGAAGAAATTCGGTAGCAGTATTTACAGGGCGATTTCCTGCAGATGATGAAGTAGCGTTCAAGACTGACGGCAGACAGCGTAGAAATGGTGGCGTTGCCGAAAATGAAGCCGAGGAAGCCGTAGATTGTACATCCAACATCTCCATACAGCCATTGCTGAAACGGAAACATACCCGAGTTACCTGCCCATTGCATAGGACCATATCAATACAGACTGTGATGCGAGTCATTCACACATCTATAGCCAAATTGCAGGATAAATGGGAAAATAATCATTATTGACTTTCTGTTGATGTGGAAACAAATCAACAAATCATATCGTAAAATTTCATGCTCATATAAATAGATAAAATGAAACGAATTAACAATGTAAGAGGGTTAGAAACTGATTTCCTGAATCGAAGTATTAATTCGTGTTTTGTTCTTACACGTCCAGGTCCTGCCATGCAAATGTTCAACCTCAGATCCTTTCAACTAAAGGGACACGACTCTGTTATCTCACGGCGAAATATCTCAGTTTCGTGCCGTGATAAGGACCACTGTTTAAAGACCACCATTAAACATAAGCCTACCATTTACCCTTTGATCTTGATTTAACGAGTCTTGTTAATGAAGACGCCTAATGGTCACCACTTCCTGAATCAACTTTGCGCAAAAAAATAACAGTTCTTCAAGAAACTACTACTCAAACTCAAACTCAAACTCAAACTCTTTATGCTCTACAAACCGCCAACGGCGGTACATGAGATATTCCAGCAACATCACGGCGGGGGACACCATAAATGGGCTTCACAAATTGTACCCATGTGGGGATTCGAACCCGGGTCTTCGGCGTGACGAGCCAACGCTTTAACCACTGGGCTACCCAACCGCCCCGCTATTTATTATAACCTTAAATGGTAATGAAGAGTAGTAATGGGTACACTGAATTGGTTAAGTGAATTTTATGAAGTTGGGTCCATTTATTTATCAATGTAAAAGGTAATTACATTGTGTCATTCCCTTTTATAGAATTATATGTACTTTGCAAATAGACTAAAATCAACATTGAATGCCATTACAGACGAAGTAATAAAACAGTTTTAATCCCTGAAGATGTTTGACTGTTTTTACGGTAATACTCTGTGATATTACCCTTATTTTCTGATTTTGAAAATACAGCTTTTGACAGTTTCCCTAAACGATGTATAGAATAGTTTTTTGGAAAATATCGATTTGGATCAAATATACTAAATTGGATAAAGTTTCTACTGCCAGTAGAACAGCATGTGATAAACTTAATGGACGTCTTCCACATTTGTTTTATGTTAGAAATAGGATGTCGACAGGGATACCTGCTATCACACTACCTATTTCTCATTTTAGTCGACATATAAGGTTGAATGGTGAGACACAACACAATATGGTACACCGTGTAGGGCAGTATTCTGATGACACTCAGAGTTTTATGGATTGATAAGGCATGTGAGGAAATATTGTTTCATGGAATGTAGGGAAATGTTGTCTCATGGAATGTGAGGAGATATTATCTTAATATGGTTTGTGATGAAATATTGTTTTATCGCATGTGATGAAATATTGTTTTATGACACGTCATCAATTATTATTTCATGAGGGTATATATCATGTTTATCTCACCTAAATACGCCGGAGACCTACCTGGGCAACGTTTGAAGACACAGTGAAGGGGAAGCAAACGCCTGTCATGCCGATGTCGGCGATGGCGAGGTTGAGCAATAGGATGTCGACGGAGGAGCGCAACTTCTTCTCTGTCAGAAACATCACCACTGATACCACGTTAGCACTGATACCAAACACACCTGACATCAAGAAATATGTTCATCACGTAAGAAGGAATAGTGAGTGGTTTAAAACACACCTGACATCAAGAAATATGTTCATGACGTAAGTGAGTGAGTATGTTTAGTTTTACGCCGCATTCAGCAATATTCCAGCTATATGGTGTTAGTCTGTACATAGTCGAGTCTGGACCAGACAATCCAGGGATCAACAGCATGAACATCGATCTACGCAATTGGGATACCATGACATGTGTCAACCCAGTCAGCGAGCCTGACCACCCGATCCCGTTAGTCGCCTCTTACGACAAGCATGGGTTGCTGAAGACCAATTCTAACCCGGATCTTCATGGGTTCATGACGTAAGTAGGAAAGAGGACTGGTTTAAAACACACCTGAATACGAACTCATGTAAAAGCAACAAAAGACTTTCCATTTTAACAACAATAGTAATGGCAAAACCCTTTCAATATTCAAATACTACAAAAAACCAACATTCCCACATGTTTTGCTATAATAAAGCGACAAAGTGCTTTCCATGTTCATAAGACATTTCTGCAAATATCATAGTCTACTGAACGTATCTGATTATACTATTCGCTAAAATATGAGCGTATCCTGTCCAACCGATGTTAGCCTTAACAAACACATTCAAAGGCAGGGCATATGTCCCCCGGGAACAACAATATATATGACAATAATGGACCAGTACTGTGTTATCAGATTTGTGCAAGAACAATGTGTATACACATCAATCATTCAGTTGGAATACTGGAAAATATATAACCTTGAGTTTTACAAAAGTATAACAGAAATGTACGCTCAGCCATCTGGATGTCATGGGAAAAAATACTGAAGCTGAGATAAAACATATTCTGCATACAAACAACGATTCCCGACCACTCCTAAAAATAAGAAATTATCGAAAAGAATGAAGTGAAAAAATACTTTGTTTTTAGCTGTGCATTTCAGCATACACTATTGTAGTACTCTTAAGTAGTCTTAATGACTCTCAATGGCCAAATCATATCAGATGAAGGACGATGGTGCAATAATAGACGAGTAGCTAATCACTCCCTATAGATAGGGAGATGTACCCGAAGTACATCACAATTCCATCTCCATAATAAGCTCCATCATAAAACCTTTCCGAGTCCCAATTTTACTGTTCCGAATACAACATGAGCAACTGCTACTGAAAAACTATGAGAAAGAAATGATACTAGTTGGTGAGCATATCCTGCCCCAAAAGAGGCATACGTCACAAATACATACAAACACAAGTACGTTTTTCACCTGAACATACACGGGAACATATGAAAGAAGTCGAAATAGGGAATTGTATGGGACATCATTTTTGTAACTGACACATTAAATTTTGAAATGTCCTTCACACGTATGCAATAAAACATTTGACAGGTTAAAGATACCTGACATGTTGTAGCCATAATAAAAGCATTTTAGAAGTGTTCGTATGACGGTTGATAAATCTTGGTAAAAGAGCATATTCGAGTGTACTTCAACAGTGTGACATGACATCACCAAATGCTTGAACTGCTGGCATATTGCTCGGAAATAAGTGTTGACCATTGAAACGTTGAAGATACACCTCTCTTCCTAAAGCTTTGTGAATACGTTTGTCACTTGATAAAAAGTTAATGCAAAAATCTGAACGTCAAACAGATGAGGTTGTCTCACTGGCCTTCTTTTAATTCTAGTTCCGGTTAGCATTTACCACATGTAGCGCTCCATCGAGTTGTGAGAAATGTCAGAGCGATGCATCCAAATTGGAATACGGTCAGTCTTTTGTCATCAATATGTGTGTATGTCTAGGAAGTGAACTATATTTCATTGATTTTCTTGACTATACTATATTAGGTCCCAAGACATTACTTTTATATTAGAAATGCCTAAAGACAGATGTATTAGCTATACCTATCCAACATGACTTTGTATTCTTTTACAGTAATGATATCTAACTTGTCATGGTCGACTTTCGATTGACATATTTGTTTGTGTCCAGAAGCCCATTATGTCCCACTGTACGCGTGGTCCTATATATATACTGTTTCACATTGACAGTGTGAAACCGGTTAGAATTGAAGAATGATATCTGTACCAAGGTTCTTCAGACTTTTGTCTTGTGTGTGTGTGTGTGTGTGTGTGTGTGTGTGTGTGTGTGTGTGTGTGTGTGTGTGTGTGTGTGTGTGTGTGTGTGTGTGTGTGTGTGTGTGTGTGTGTGTGTGTGTGTGTTCAAATATTCTAATATTCAAATATGGTTTGCCAAAGGTGTACAGAGTGCATTGTGAATACAGATAAAGATCTCTTCAGTACTGTTAGTCGCATATGCCTCTCCCTGTTGGTCGATATGATAGTGCAACATGACAACCAGTGTTCATAGAAGGGTTAGGGCTGTGGTTACATGATAGCCCTAGCTACTTTGCAATCATGTAATTATGCGAGATAATCACCCCCTTGTTTCCGTACATAATGAAATATTCCGAGATGTTTTTCAGGAAGGTTAGCCTGTACATGTAAGTAACTGATATTCAAGTCATCGATGTATAAATAGTCTTGTAAAGTTACTTCGACCTTTGTTAGTTATTGTATATACTAGTATTCAACGGGCGTATTGCCGGAGACAGTGATGGTTTGTTCACTTACATCTCTGAACAAGGATGCAATGTCATCGATTAATTTCACTACTTAGAACTCCTTTTCCCTTTCCATTTCCTGGACCGCCTCCGTGGTGTAGTGGTTAGGGCGTACGCCCAAGAGCGGAAGGTCGCGGGTTCGATCCCCGGCCGCGTCATACCAAAAGACGTTAAAATATGGTACTTGTTGGTCCCTGCCTGGCGCTCGGCATTAATGGGTACAACAAGGACTGGTCGGCTCGGAGTCAGTATAATGTGTCTGAGTGGGGTATTCATGCTTCACTGCGGCATGGTATCTCAGTGGGCTAGCACTATAAAAACAGCTTCAGTCTGGGCTAGTACAAGCAGTCGCACATACACATACACACGCATGCACATCGTCACATGAGCGAAATATTGTCAAGCACGACGTTAAACCCAAATTCACCTCACCTCACCTTCCATTTCCCCTTTTGAACGTGTTGGCAGTCACAAATACATAACGGGAGACAACCGTATTGAGAGTAAGCATATGCCTGTAGTATTACATTTCAAGGAACTTCTAGCTAGTTTGTTGTTTAACGCAACACTCAGCAATATTCCAGCTGTTTGGGGGCGGTATGTAAATAATCTAGTTTGGGCCAGACAATCTAGTGATCAACAGAATGAGCATCGATCTACGCAATTGGGATACGATGAAATTTGTCAGCCAAGTCAGCGAGCCTTTCCACCCGATCCCGTTAGTCACCTCTTATGACAAGCAAGGGTTACTGAAGACCAATTCTAACCCGGATCTTCACGGGTTACAAGACGAAAATAATTTGCAGATCGACAACCAAGTACAAAAGTACCTTGAGAAAATAGACAGTTCACGCCAAAGAAACTTGTGCAAAGGTTATAGGCTAAGAGTATTGAACTACCCGACAAATCTCTACTATTTTAAAGAGATAGTTGGTTTGAGCGTGTCACCATTATATACAACTAAGGAAATATGTAAGATACTGACGTAAAGTGGAAACACATGCATTACTCTCCTAGAGGTATTTATTACGTTATTTGATTTGGCCACGCACACCTTATGCTATGGCTCATGGCGAATGTAGCCGCCTTACTATGTACAGGAACTCACTTGTTTGTACTCTTGGATATTACTGTAAAATGTTATCATGGCCTGAAAGCCGCCTCCCATAAAAGGCGTACTACATCCTAAATTATTTATACTTATTTTATTTATTCATTCATTTATTTATTCAGTACTTTGGCCACATGGCCTATTGTACAATTACACGACAGAATACAATTTGCCCACGGGTGGGACCTGGCATTAAACACATTGTTTAGATATAATTCAACAGATTTAATAACGTTGTTAAATAGTACAAACGTAATTAAGTTATTGTGACCATTGGCGGTACAGAAATGGCCTTCAGATATAACATATCTATTATTTCTGTAATTTAGCTGTTCATTTGTTTGGTTTTGTTCAGCTCTCATAACTGTTTTATGTGATCATGGTATAGAGGATGAACATCTTTTTATCTTTATGTTCTACAGATTAAAATGATTGGAACTGAGAGCAGCTGGGTGGATACAGATCGATTCACTCCAAACTTTATAAGGCATTACGTGTTTTGGAGGTTATCACTAGCATATTCATTTTAGATATTGCAGCCTGTACTTTGGTAAGATAGTGTCTAACTTATTACATCTAAGCATTGCAGCAGACATTCTTGTTTGATTATTTCAGACTCTTACACGGCGTATTTTATCAGTGATCGAAATGAAATGAAATGCTTCTCCGCTCTAAATTAGAAACTGGGTGTTGAAAGTTCAGTTCCATTTGTACTTCTTTAAATGGTATTCATGCACTCTCCTGGAGCTCAGTCAAAATATACTCTTGTCTTATGAACCACATATACACATGGAAAAAAGTGTCGCAAGACCCGTATTTTTCATAGTGCCATTGTTACCATAATCCTTAGTGGAAGAACCTATCCTAATATGACTCATTTTTGCAGTGCTGATAACTATGGTCGTATGACGTTAACAGATGTGGTCATTTTCACGATTTGGGCATACAATCTTCATGACATCGCATGTGTATCAATAACCGAGTTTAATGTCAATATCTGGTAGAACCTCTGCCAACTGCAATAACACCCCCTGACCCTCGTCCTCCTTGACTGTATCAAGACGTTGAATATGACCTTGTCGTATTGTGTTCCACTCTTTGTTTCCTTTTTTTTTTATTGTTCCCAATACGTTGAATGCAAGCATACAGAAGAATATGTGTACATAACAGCTTGTGGGCTCAACAGAGATAATACATTTGATATCAGTATCAACAGCTTTATGTTTTGGTTAAATAGTTATTCAGGAATAAATACTGGGATCA